GGGACCAGTTGGAAAAAAAAGAGGTAGGATTTTCAAATCCCAACAAGAGGTGTTTGCCTTTCTCTGTGTAAAGATTTTATCGATTCTATCAAAAGAGAGTAACTGAACTAAGAATATTTGCTGATTGAGCTCCTCCTGATGACTAAAACACAAAATACTTGAGGATGGCTAATTAAAAAGAAACCAGGGGACTAGATGAACAAGATTCACATTGCATTGATGTGAGTTGTTCTCATTAGAATAAGATTATAGGTATTCTGTAATACCATCTGATTGAACAGAGAAATCAATGCATTGATTAAGAGTAATGCTCAAAACACAAATGATTGAATATGAGGCTAAATGGGTGGAGTGAGTTGTTCACAATGAGAGAAAAGTTATTTTGATACACTTAATTAGCTTTACACTGCAAGAGCAAATAGACAAACAAACAACGTTTAACAGTTTATTATTGTCCAAATTCATATCAGTAGACTTGGAGAAATAAAATGTACTTTTGCATATTAAAACATTCTCTTAAACAAAAATATAACAATTACCTACAATCTCAAATACGAAAAACCATACAAGCAAATAATTGTCTTTCTAAAAGACATAAGGTACAAGAGCTATGAAAAGTGTAAGACAAAACCAAAATAAGCCACATACCAAATAATACCTTTGTAACCGACATTGGGCAGTACAATTGCTACAGTCAAGCTTACAATTGTGCAGTTCTGCTAAATGCCTATATGTTTTGAGTTACATAACATCATTTCAGCTCACTTATTGCATTCCAGGTAATATGACAGAGATCAGAAAGAGTTGTGAAGCACAGGACTTATTCAATAATGCCTATAGAGAAAGCCAGTTTTGTCAGGTGCAACCTTAGAGGAAGTAGCCTTTGGATGAATTCCTACTAACATGTCATTATAGCCTCTATGTATGTGTTCCATTACAGATCTGTCTGAAGTGGGATTGGCTTTAGCCCCCTAACTGTTATGTTTATGGTATGAGTTGAATCTATAGCATCTTAAAATGAATGCAGGAAAAATATACAATTTCAATATAAATTCCCTGCATTTCAGGAAATCTGGAGAGAGTACTGTCGGCATTGGTGACAGTAATCAGCCAATTTAATCGACACACAGGGAAGCTGAATTTCCTGATTGAGGAGTTGTTTAGAGGACAACTGTTCTATTTAACATCAGTTTTTTTTTTTTATCGGTATGTGAAGGGCAGGCTATTTCTTTGTCTACTAGTGGGTAAACCGGTAGGGTTTGGCATCAATCAATAAACTGTTACCTGATCAATATGATCAGCTGACCTGAATGGCAGAGGGAGGACCACGGTGAGCCGGGCCATGCATAGGCAAGCCACATTGTTAGCGGACAAAACAGATCAGAATCAATCAACAAAATGGATGACTGCTGTAGTCTACGTTAAAGCAAATGTCTTGACATTTACACAGTTCAACAGCTGTATACTTAAATTAGACAACATAACCAAAAGACAGAGGGAATCTCTCTCTCTCTCGCTCTCTCTCTCTCAATAAATGCAACATGTAAAGTGTTCATCCCATGTTTCATGAGCTGAAATAACAGATCCCAGAAATGTTCCATAAACACAAAAAGCTTATTTCTCTCAAATGTTGTGCACACATTTGTTTACATCCCTGTTAGAAAGCATTTCTCCTTTGCCAAGATAATCCATCCACCTGACAGGTGTGGCATATCAAGAAGCTGATTAAACGACATGATCATTACACAGGTGCAACTTGTGCTGGGGACAATAAAAGGCCACTCCAAAATTTGCAGTTTTGTCACACAACACAATGCCACAGATGTCTCAAGTTTTGAGGGAGTGTGCAATTGACATGCTGACTGCAGGAATGTCCACCAGAGCTGTTGCCAGAGAATGTAATGTTAATTTATCTACCATAAGCCGCCTCCAACATCATTTTACAGAATTTGGCAGTACGTCCAACCGGCCTCACAACCGCAAACCACGGCAGCCTAGGACATCCACATCCTGCTTCTTCACCTGCGGGATCGTCTGAGACTAGCCATCCTGACAGCTGATGAAACTGAGGAGTATTTCCGTCTGTAATAACGCCCTTTTGTGGGGAAAAACCCATTCTGATTGGCTGGGCCTGGCTCCCAAGTGGGTGGACCTATGTCTTCCCAGGCCACCCATGGCTGCGCCTCTGCCCAGTCATGTGAAATCCATAGATTAGGGCCTAATTTATTTATTTCAATTGACTGATTTCCTTATATTTCTTGATCAGTATATACACATTTCTGCTTTCTCCTCAAAGGTGATGGTGGACAGTAATACTAGGTCCTGTATGTTATAGGATTCTGAGGAGGAATGTGCAAAGGTGAGCGTAATAGAACCTATAGAATCATTCAGTATCATTCAAATTCTATGATAGAACCCTCCAGCCCTGTAGATAACGACAGGGTTCGCAGTGCTGAGAGAGACAGCGAGAGGGAGGATGACACCACAGTTGTCTGAAAGCAGTAGAAACTGATAAAAGCTCTGTTCCTGGTTGCGCTCAGTGGGATACAACATTACAGAACCTCCAGATAGAAATAGATGATGTAGAACATACATGCTTCCCTATCATGTAGACAAGGGAATAATGTCAGCTCTGTACATTACATTTCTAACGTCTGAGAAACAGATTGTTGCCTCCTCCATAATGCGACCCTGCTCACAGTGAGGGGCAGGTGGCGTTGGATGAGGACATGTTCAGGGAAACTCTTTCAGCACGGCAGGCTACAGCCAGAGATGACCCAGAAGCCCTCAGGAGGTAAGGGAGGCAGAGTCAAGACATACAATAACACCTATACAACAATGCATAAAGAGGAGACAAACCAAAACACAGCAGAAAAATAGATCCAGAGAGCAGAGATGGCACCAACATTTAAAAAAGATTCCTCAAAAGATTCCTGCCCAATGACAGAAAAGGGGCAATCACAATCTTTTATTTTATTATAACAAAATATTAAAATAGTCTTTATAGAGGACTCTTTTCATCTATACATGATCTGTAACATTATGACAAACCCAAAATATATGTATACATTTATATATGCACTGTATATATATATATATATTACCATTCATATTTTTAAGTCTTATTTAGTATGGCAAAACAACAGAAAACAACAAGCGTCACATAAAGAACAGACATCTGAAGGAAATAATCCCAATGAGTTACTCCAGTTATATCCCTAATGACAATATCATTCTGCAGTTTCACCCTCAACACCAGAGGGTTAAAACCTCTACAAATAATGAGCATTTGCTTGCAATAAGAAGAAACAATTAAAGCAAATTCTTTAAAATACTTTACAAAATGTACTCTTTTTCAAACAGCTATATTATGAACAAGGAATGGAGATGCAAAACTGGTATTTAAATAAATGTTCCATTGACAAGCATTGTTTTTTCTTTTGTTGCCCTGACTATTAAACAAGATTAGGATAAAAAAGACCCTTAATAGCCAAGATGGAAAAGGTACATTAAAACACACCACGTGTTGTTTATGCTGCATCCACATTCTTACTGCATAGAAAATACTTTACATATCAAATTAACCTGAAATCATAATACTTTTATATTTTAGCTTGTAATTCAATAGACAACTACTTGTGTAACAAACAAACCCTGTAAACAAGTTTGTAAGCATCTGTGTAAACAACTCTGGGCAGTTGGCTGCATGCCTCGCATTTAAAGCTTACCAACTAATGTTTGTACAGTGCTAATATAGTTTTACAGTACTGCAATAAAATAACAAAACATGGTGCTATTCTACAGCAGTGAACCTTTTTGTTTGTCAACTCATCAAAAACAACTTAGAATACCATTTATTGAGCATACAGACAGGAGCATGCCAGTAAAGTACCTCATGTTACTGTGGGTTAACATGCGCACAAAGAAAGAGCGTCTGAATGGATGAGGGTGCAGTGCAGCATACACAATGGCCTGAGATACTGTTGAAGCTCCACAAGGTACAATTAGAGCTCCACACACCCACACCTCCAACTGCAAATTAAAAGATATGTGGTCACTTGACCTAACTGCCAGATCTCTGCTTTCTCAAATGCTTTTCTCCCATCCTGGATATTCTCAGAGCTACGCTCGTTTTCATGCATCGACTGAGGAAAAACCATTTAAAACACCTGGGACAAGAGAGCACAAAAGCAAATGGAGGTACTGTTAAAAAGACACTGGGATCAGCGGGCATCGTCCATCCCTTCTTCATAAGCACTGTGTCCCAAACGCCTCAGCCATATACCGTGACATCACATCTCAGTCTGTATACAGCTCTATAGGCAGTGAGAGTCTACACACGGGGGAGTTGCTAAAACCTTTTTAAAATGGCATAAAAAGAGATGCCGTTGGTTTGGCCTCGAGCAGCCGTCAGCTGAGACTGAGGACCTGGAGAGGAGCGAGGGGTGAGAGGAGTGTGCCCAGAGGAGAGGCAGCATGGCAGGCTTAGACCACCCCTCCCTCCCTCCCTCATCCATCCTCCCCCTCCCTCCCTCCCTCCCTCGGCCTGCAGTGTCCATCCAGGCGTCCAGCCAGCTCTACACCGCTGACACCTGCTCATCTGCAATAGATAAGAGGAGAGGAGAGTTAACCTAACACTGAAGACACAATTACTTCAGACAAAACATCTAGGCACATCTTACAGCAGTATCAAAGACATAATGGTATGCTAAGTTATCGGCTCATGTGAAATTGTGTCAAGCTAGTTTTGCATCAAACTAGAGACATTTTACCATTCCTAACATTCTATACTGTGACTTCATCTGCTTATTGTTGATAACAGGCAGAAAAGCACCAACAAGCTGAGGCTCAGATTACATCCAAATCAGAACCCTTCAATGGTGAACCATCTGCCAGGAAACCCAACTCTGCCACTAACTAGGTAATTCCAGCACTCCAGCAGCATCACAGAGAGCCCTGAGGTATAGTCTAGTCTACTACAACATGGCTGCCTGGTGCTATAGTCCTCCATGTTGTCCCTGTCTGGGGCTGGTCTCGGTCTTTCTCCACGTACCATCCTCACTATCCCCTAGGCCCTGTAGGCAGACGCTGGCTGGCCTGGACTGGCCCTGGGACTCGTGGTGGTGGTTCACCCCCAGGCGCCGGGCCTCCACCAGGCCTCCGGGGCTCTGTAGCAGCTTAGACCTCTGCAGGGCCACACTATAGTCGGGTGGCCGCAAGTGGGGGAGCCGTTGGGGAGCTCCATCCCGTCCATTAACCAGGGTGAGGCCCTGGTATCCTGGAGGGGTGGGGGGAGGTCCCCTGTACCTATCGTCCTTGGTGGGAGAGGTTACACAATACACTGGCCACCAGGAATGGGGGAGGAGACAGGGGAGGGAGGTGTGACAGTGATGAAGTGGGGAGGGAGGGAAGGAGGGAGAAAAGAAACAAAAATGGAGAAAATAAATCAATGAGATGTTTCAGCACCACTATGTAGCTACTAAACCACTGACATAAAGAGATAGACAGGCAGGTGGTTGGTGTGTGAGATGAATGGCAGCAGCAGATTTGGCCTGTTCTATACTGTACTGTACTATACTGTACTATACTGTACTATACTGCTCTTCAATAGGGCCAGGACAATACCAGTATCGCGATACTCGTTAATATCGTAACAAGGAAACAAAACACAAAGCAGATTTAACTTCTTTAGGAAAACAGCCCTAATGTTGGAAACAAACGTGTTGTCATCCAGAGTCACATTAATTTATTTTCCAAGCTACAGCACAATATTTTACATACAACATGTTTTTAAAAGGACCAAAGAGTGTGGTCTGCTTTGTGTTTTTTAGATTTGCAATGGAAAACATATAGTGATACTGGTATTGTCCCGGACCTACTTTTTAATCCTCCTGTCCATCCAGTCAGAGGACGATACATAGGCTTCGTCCCAAATGGCACCCTGTGCATTCCTTTTGACCAGAGCCCAATGGGCCCTGGTCAAAAGTAGTGCATTAAATAAGGAGTATATAGGAAACCCTGGTCAAAAGTAGTGCACTTTATAGGGAATAGGGTGCCATTTGGGACACATCCATTATTGCTGTGCTCTGCTCCATTACAGAACACCGTCTCTGCTCCATTACAGAACACCGTCTCTGCTCCATTACAGAACACCGTCTCTGCTCCATTACAGAACACCGTCTCTGCTCCATTACAGAACACCGTCTCTGCTCCATTACAGAACACCGTCTCTGCTCCATTACAGAACACCGTCTCTGCTCCATTACAGAACACCGTCTCTGCTCCATTACAGAACACCGTCTCTGCTCCATTACAGAACACCGTCTCTGCTCATTACAGAACACCGTTCTGCTCCATTACAGAACACCGTCTCTGCTCCATTACAGAACACCGTCTCTGCTCCATTACAGAACACAGTCTCGTGCTCCATTACAGAACACCGTCTCTGCTCCTTACAGAACCCCACCGTCTCTGCTCCATTACAGAAACACCGTCTCCGCTGCATTACAGAACCCAGTCTCCGCTGCATTACAAGAACACCGTCTCCGCTCCATACAGAACACCGTCTCCGCTCCATTACAGAACACCGTCTCCGCTGCATTACAGAACACCGTCTCCGCTGCATTACAGAACACCGTCTCCGCTGCATTACAGAACACAGTCTCCGCTGCATTACAGAACACAGTCTCCGCTGCATTACAGAACACAGTCTCCGCTGCATTACAGAACACTGTCTCCGCTGCATTACACTGTCTCCGCTGCATTACAGAACACAGTCTCCGCTGCATTACACCCGTCTCCGCTGCATACAGAACACCGTCTCCGCTGCAAACCCCCTTACAGAACACCGTCTCCGCTGCATTACAGAACACCGTCTCCGCTGCATTACAGAACACAGTCTCCGCTGCATTACACTGTCTCCGCTGCATTACAGAACACAGTCTCTGCTGCATTACAGAACACCGTCTCCGCTCCATTACAGAACACCGTCTCCGCTGCATTACAGAACACCGTCTCCGCTGCATTACAGAACACAGTCTCCGCTGCATTACACTGTCTCCGCTGCATTACAGAACACAGTCTCTGCTGCATTACAGAACACCGTCTCCGCTGCATTACAGAACACCGTCTCCGCTGCATTACAGAACACAGTCTCTGCTGCATTACAGAACACAGTCTCTGCTGCATTACAGAACACCGTCTCCGCTCCATTACAGAACACCGTCTCCGCTGCATTACAGAACACCGTCTCCGCTGCATTACAGAACACAGTCTCTGCTGCATTACAGAACACAGTCTCCGCTGCATTACAGAACACCGTCTCCGCTGCATTACAGAACACCGTCTCTGCTGCATTACAGAACACCGTCTCCGCTCCATTACAGAACACCGTCTCCGCTGCATTACAGAACACCGTCTCCGCTGCATTACAGAACACAGTCTCCGCTGCATTACACTGTCTCCGCTGCATTACAGAACACAGTCTCTGCTGCATTACAGAACACCGTCTCCGCTGCATTACAGAACACCGTCTTCGATGCTTTACAGAACACCGTCTCCGCTGCATTACAGAACACCGTCTCCGCTCCATTACACTGTCTCCGCTGCATTACAGAACACCGTCTCCGCTCCATTACAGAACACCGTCTCCGCTCCATTACAGAACACCGTCTCCGCTCCATTACAGAACACCGTCTCCGCTCCATTACAGAACACAGTCTCCGCTGCATTACAGAACACTGTCTCCGCTGCATTACAGAACACAGTCTCTGCTGCATTACAGAACACCGTCTCCGCTGCATTACAGAACACCGTCTTCGATGCTTTACAGAACACCGTCTCCGCTGCATTACAGAACACCGTCTCCGCTCCATTACAGAACACAGTCTCCGCTCCATTACAGAACACCGTCTCCGCTGCATTACAGAACACAGTCTCTGCTCCATTACAGAACACAGTCTCTGCTGCATTACAGAACACAGTCTCTGCTGCATTACAGAAGATGAACTAAACAGGAAAAGCCTGATTCACAGGTTAGAGAAGTAGACCAGCTGGAGAATACAGTATGTGGTAGAGTAGTAGTAAATGCAGCTGAGCAAATAGCACAAGCAGGGGAGCCCGGTTACAGAATCCCACTATACTGCAGTTCCATGGACAGTCTCACGCAGCATGAGTGAAAAAACTGAAGCATTTTGTGCCACAGCTGGTTTTGAGACTGGTGGCCAGCCAAAGTGAGTGCATCAAAAGCCATAAGAAAGGGGGAAAAAAAGTGTAGAAATCTGCTGTTGTCGTTCCTCCACACACACCCATCTACACACAGCATGTCACAAGTGGGGTTTACAGTTACACACTAACACCACAGTACAGTAGAGGTGAAGGAGAAGACACACAGTGGACCCTCACCTATGAGGCCTTTCTCTGTGCTTGAAGTGACTGTTTTGTAGATGGGGGCTGTGCTTTGGGGTGCGTCGTGCCCCTCCCCAGGGGCATTTGAGGCGCCGTCTGCAGTGCGGCGTTTGATTGTGCCGTAGTTCCCCTCATAGGTGTCAGACAGCGAGGATGACGAGGCCCAGCTCTGCCGTGATTGGTTGAGCTCTGAACTGTCTCTGGAGAGCCTCTTGGCGTCCTCTCCTCCCCCGGACAACGCCACTGGTGCTCCCACTACCCCTGCCCCGGCAGGCCCAGCCTCCACCTCTGCTATAGGCCCTGCTAGCTGGGTGTGGCGGAAGACCCCAGGTGCCAGGTGGTCCCAGGCAGGGGGTCGGCCAACCCCCAGGCCTAGCAGGTGAACAGGCAGGCTCTGGAAGCTGTCATGGGAGTTGGAGGAGCAGGAGGTCCAGCTTCCTCGCCCGCTGTCGACCACACTGTCCAGGGAAGCGTGGTCGGGGGTCAGCTCCTCTGTGGAGATGGAGGAGGTGAAGGTGGAGCCCTGCGTCACCTGGCCCTGCACCAAAGACAAACTGACCAGGAGAAGAGAGAAGGAAACAATTAAAGTTTGAAACATTGAAGAACTGAATAGGAAGAGAGAGAAGGAAACACAAGGAAACAGAGAAGAACTGAATAGGAAGAGAGAGAAGGAAACAATGAAACAGAAGAACTGAATAGGAAGAGAGAGAAGGAAACACAATGAAACAGAAGAACAATCAACTGACCAGGAGAAAAACACGACAGGGACAACATGAAACAAGGAGAAGCAAGACAAGTCAACAAAGCAACCAGGTGAACTATTCCTGTTTAATATGTCCTGTAGCCTCCACCATCCATCCCCAAATATCCCAATCAGTCTCACAACACTGCAGAGCACACAGTGTCTTTAGGATTTATCACTGCACTCACCATACAGTAAAGTTGTGCTCCTCTCCTCTTCCATTAACCAGACACTGTTTGATTCACCTAAATGGTTTTTACGGAGCGTGCCGGGAGTTCAAATAAACAACATTTAATGAACAGACTGCCACCGCCGCTGCAGCAGGTTCCCAGGTAATAAAATATGATACAAAAGGAGATTATTGTGACCAAGAAGTATATCATATTTATGCCAGGGAGGCCTCATCCTGGAGGGACAGTAAAGGGGGTTGTTTACTTATTGGAATTAAAAGCTGTCCCACATAAAAGTGGCAGCACAGTTAATGTGGGACTGAGTGAGTAAACATGTGATGTTGATAAACAGTGGTCCTTTTACGATTTCCTGTCCACTGTGCTTTAATGAGCCAAGGACATTATTGGAACCAAGCTTGGAGGGGAGGGGGGAGAGGTGGGGGTCTGCTTTGAGGAGGTATACGATGTGTGTGTGTGTGTGTGTATGTGTGTGTGTGTGTAAGTGTGAGTGTGTGAGTGTTACTGTGTGTGTGTTACCTGGTGCTGGGCTGGCTGCAGTCAGAGTTGGCATGTGTGAGTTGCGTGGTGGTGCCCGGGGTCTCGGTGGTATCCCTGGTCTTGATGCCTTGGCGCTCCTCTGCAGGGCCAGCAGGCATGGAGTCCACAGAGCAGTTACTGACGATGCTGGAGCGGGACGAGATCTCACTGTGGCTGGAGTCGGACAGGTTGTCTGACTTCCCTGCAGGCATCAAGGCATAGCCTGGGGGGGAGCGTGGAGGAGATGATCAGCCTGGAGAAGTGGTCATCCACACAGCCTCTACCAACCTTCACTAGATCTAACATCTACTACAGGTGCTCTACATACAGATCAGCAGCATGTCAAACACTGATCTGGACCGGTTTCATGAAACTCTTTTATTTCAAAAATGGAAATCCTGTATAGAAAATATATATATATTTTCAGTGTTAGTTTCTCCCATGCTCATCAATAACATATGTAGAAAACTAATAATCAGTTAAAACAGTTGAAATTGGGAGCATCTTTACAGTCACATTGCAGTTGACCTGTGGAGCCTCTTGAATACAACATGCTTAACTTACCTTATACTATCTTAGAAATGTCAGAAATACAGTCCAACATCTAAGGTCTTCAAATATTGTAATATTGAATCTATTCTAATTCTAATCTAAGTATTTAGGTAACACATTCTGAAAACTCAAGATCATACTGCATATTAAATCTAGCTGCCTTTTAAAATCATTATGCATACTCTCACTTCGTTGTAGATCAACTTGGACTGAACCATCACTAACATGTATGATACAATACCTGAAAACGTTCACCAACATCTTTCAATTAACTGCTGAAAACTCATGACAAAACTTTCTGTACACATAACATACTTCTTCAGTTCACTTCCACAAAATGTACTTCCTCAGTCTAGCAGATTGTCTCTGTCCTCTAAGCCAACTTCAGTGTTCATTATTCTACACAGGGACTACTGTGCTACTTCCTCAGTCTGTCTGTCAATCTGTCAGATAGTCTTTCTCCTCTTGTGTCGGTCTCTGCAGAGCCATGCAAAGGCCCTGCTGGGGCTGGCTGACCTCCTTGCCTGCCCTTTGACCTGCTCAGCCTGTCTCTGTCCTGGGCTACAATCCTGGGCCTCAGAGGGCCCCGTCTGCCCCGGACCCTCCACTGGTGTCCTAGCCACTAGCACTGCAGCCAGCCTTTCCCTAGACTGACTCCTCTCCCTCAGCATCCTGAATGGGGACAGCTCCCTCAGCCTCTTCCTCAGGGGGGACTCTGGTAGTCTGGGCCTGGGGGGGGTTAGAGACTCTGGCACTGTCGAGGTCTCTGTCTGGGGAGCGGGGGTCCCTGGCCTGGTGGCCTTTGCGGCCCCTGCTTCTGGGTCTCCATGGGGCCCAGAGTGGCTCATCATCCCTGGCCCTGCCTGCTCTGTCTCCACCTCCATCAGCACATCCATCTCTCTGTCCCTGCCTTCCTCCCTGTCTCTGATGTGCTGCCTGGTCATCTGCAGGAACCTCTTGTGGAGGAGAGCCCCACCTATGCCGTAGCTGCGGCTGCCAGCCGTGCCTGCCTTGGTGGTGGCCTCGCTGGTCAGAGAGGACGACGAGCCAGACCGGTTCATCTGGCTGTTGGTGTTACGCTGGGGCTTGGCCACGCCACCCACTGTAGACAAACACAGGAGAGGAGAGACGGGAAGAATGACTGAGGTGCCTGATTAAGATGACACTAAATTACAGTATGGATAGGTGAGATGAGGGAATAGGACTACAGCAAGATGTGTATGTATGTGTATGTCCTGTGGGTGAGGGATGCTGGGTTGAGGTGCTGATATATAGAGGGTACTGACGGTGAGGTACAAACCTTCGATGAAGAATGGGTATGCTTGGTTCTGAGTTATGGGTATGAGTTGTGAGATGAATGAATGGATTGGAGTAGATGCTGTTGTGAGAGGTAATGTGAGGTAGCCAGGGTGTAGACCTTTGCGAGGGGAGCCCTGTGGCGAGACGGTGGGGCTGGAGTGCAGGGAGGAAACAGTGGACACGGTGTCTTCAGCAGGCCTCCTCCCAATCCAGGGACTGTCCTCTAATTGGCTGAGCTGGGAGCTGGGAGGCTTCTTTATCACCTGGGGAGAGCTGGAGTCTGAGAGAGGGAGAGAGAGAGAGAAGATATACACTGTTATAGTCTATGAGGGGGAGAGAGAGAGAAAGATATACAGTGCATTCGGAAAGTATTCAGACCCCTTGACTTTTTCCACATTTTCTTACGTTGGCTGATTCTAAAATAGATTAAATTGTATTTTTTCCTCATCAATCTACACACAATACCCCATAATGACAAAGCAAAAATTGGTTTTTAGAAATGTTTGCAAATGTATACAAAAAATGAAATATCACATTTACATAAGTATTCAGATCCTTTACTCAGTACTTTGTTGAAGCACCATTGGCAGCGATTATAGCCTTGAGTCTTCTTGGGTATGACGCTACACGCTTGGCACACCTGTATTTGGGGAGTTTCTCCCATTCTTCTCTGCAGATCCTCTCAAGCTCTGTCAGGTTTGATGGGGAGCTTCGCTACACAGCTATTTTCAGGTCTCTACAGAGATGTTCGATCGGGTTCAAGTCCGGGCTCTGGCTGGACCACTCAAGGACATTCAGAGACTTGTCCCGAAGCCACTTCTGCGTTGTCTTGGCTGTGTGCTTAGGGTCGTTGTCCTGTTGGAAGGTGAACCTTCGCCCCAGTCTGAGGTCCTTAGCACTGTAGCAGGTTTTCATCAAGGATCTCTCTGTACTTTGCTCCGTTCATATTTCCCTCGATCCGGACTAGTCTCCCAGTCCCTGCTGCTGAAAAACATCCCCACAGCAACCACCATGCTTCACCGTAGGGATGGTGCCAGGTTTCCTCCAGATGTGACGCTTGGTATTCAGGCCAAAGAGTTCAATCTTGGTTTCATCAGACCAGAGAATCTTGTTTCTCATGGTCTGAGAGTCCTTTAGGTGCCTTTTGGCAAACTCCAAGCGGGCTGTCATGTGCCTTTTCCTGAGGAGTGGTTTCCGTCTGGCCACTCTACCATAAAGGCCTGATTGGTGGCGTGCTGCAGAGATGGTTGTCCTCCTGTAAGGTTGTCCCATCATCACGGAAGAACTCTGGAGCTCTGTCAGAGTGACCATCGGGTTCTTGGTCACCTCCCTGACCAAGGCCCTTCTCCCCCGATTGCTCAGTTTGGCCGGGCAGCCAGCTCTAGGAAGAGTCTTGGTGGTTCCAAACTTCTTCCATTTAAGAATGATGGAGGCCACAGTGTTCTTGGGGACCTTCAATGCTGCAGAAATGTTTTGTTACCCTTCCCCAGATCTGTGCCTTGACACAATCCTGTCTCGGAGCTCTACGGACAATTCTTTCGACCTCATGGCTTGGTTTTTGCTCTGACATGCACTGTCAACTGTGGGACCTTATATAGACAGTTGTGTGCCTTTCCAAATCATGTCCAATCAATTGAATTTACCTAAGGTGGACTCCAGTCAAGTTGTAGAAACATCTCAAGGATGATCAATGGAAACAGGATGCACCTGAGCTCAATTTCGAGTCTCGTAGCAAAGGGTCTGAATACTTACACTACCGGTCAAAAAAGTTTTAGAACACCTACTCATTCAAGGGTTTTTCTTTATTGTTACTATTTTCAACATTGTAGAATAATAGTGAAGACATTAAAACTATGAAATAACACATATGGAATCATGTAGTAACCAAGAAAGTGTTACACAAATCAAAATATATTTTATATTTGAGATTCTTCAAATAGCCACCCTTTGCCTTGATGACAGCTTTTGCACACTCTTGGCATTCTCTCAACCAGCTTCATGAGGTAGTCACCTGGAATGCATTTCATTAACAGGTGTGCCTTCTTAAAACTTAATTTGTGGAATTTATTTCCTTCTTAATGTGTTTCAGCCAATCAGTTGTGTTGTGACAAGGTGGGAGGGTAGATAGCCCTATTTGGTAAAAGACCAAGTCCATACTATGGCAAGAACAGCTCAAATAAGCAAACGGTCCATCATTACTTTAAGACATGAAGGTCAGTCAATACGGAACATTTCAAAAACTTTGAAAGTTTCTTCAACTGCAGTCGCAAAAACCATTAAGCACTATGATGAAACTGGCTCTCATGAGGACCGCCACAGGAATGGAAGACCCAGAGTTACCTCTGCTACAGAGGATAAGTTCATTAGAGTTACCAGCCTCAGAAATGTCAGCCCAAATAAATGCTTCACAGAGTTCAAGTAACAGACACATCTCAAACTCAACTGTTCAGAGGAGACTGTGTGAATCAGGCCTTCATGGTTGAATTGCTACAAAGAAACCACTACTAAAGGACACCAATAAGAAGAAGAGACTTGCTTGGGCCAAGAAACACGAGCAACGGACATTAGACCAGTGGAAATTTGTCCTTTGGTCTGCAGTCCAAATGTGAGATTTTTGGTTCCAACCGCCGTGCCTTTGTGAGACACGGTGTGGATGAACGGATGATCTCCGCATGTGTATTTCCCACCGTGAAGCATGGAGGAGGAGGTGTTATGGTGTGGGGGTGCTTTGCTGGTGACACTGTCTGTGATTTACTTAGAATTCAAGGCACACTTAACCAGCACGGCTACCACAGCATTCTGCAGCGATATACACCATCCCACCTGGTTTGGGCTTAGTGGGACTATCATTTGTTTTTCAACAGGACAATGACCCATCACACCTCCAGGCTGTGTATGGCTATTTTACCAAGAAGGAGAGTGATGGAGTGCTGCATCAGATGACCTGGCCTCCACAATCCTCCGACCTCAACCAAGTTGAGATTGTTTGGGATGAGTCGGACCGCAGAGTGAAGGAAAAGCAGCCAACAAGTGCTCAGCATATGTGGGAACTCTTTCAAAACTGTTGGAAAAGCATTCTATGTGAAGCTGGTTGAGAGAATGCCAAGAGTGTGCAAAGCTGTCATATCAAGGCAAAGGGTGGCTATTTGAAGAATATAAAATATATTTTGATTTCTTTAACACTTTTTTGGTTAATACTTGATTCCTTATGTGTTATTTCATAGTTTTGATGTCTTCACTATTATTCTACAATGTAGAAATGAGTAAAAATAAAGAAAAACCTTTGAATTAGTAGGTGTTCTAAAACTTTTGACCGGTAGTGTATTTAAATAAGGTAATTCTGGTAATAAGGTAACGTTTCCAAAAACTTGCTTTGTCATTATGGGGTATTGATGAGGAAAAAAAATTATTTAATCCATTTTAGAATAAGGCTGTAATGTAACATAATACAGAAAAAGTCAAGGGGTCTGAATACTTTCCGAATGCACTGGGACAGACAGGGACATACACTGTTAGAGAGGGACCCATACAGTGGGTACATACACCATTATTTTACTACAGAATATCATCAATTTGGCCATGTCTCCCTTGTAAAATAGGTATTCTGACCTCAATGGGACTTTCTGGATAAATAAAGGTTAATAAAAATATATAAATAAATCACCCACAAGACATCATAATATTGTTTTTAACATTTACTCACTATAAAATCACTAATATGCAACATGTTTACATTGACTAACAGATACTGTAGTCAAACTAAATTGTCCTTGAAATGTATAGCAAAGCATATCTTCTGATGTTATTTCTATCCCGAGAATCTTCCAACCGGGATTTCTGGAAAACCTGGGGATTTTGTGAAAGTTTGCAATCCTAGAAGAGAGTAACAGTTCCAGTGACTCACTATGTGCGGTGTGAATGTCCTTGGTGGTGCTCTTCTTCCGTAGAGGGTAGAGGGGCACCTGGACCTGGAGCACCTGAGATACGCGGTTCTGGGTCTTCCCCCCGGGCAGCGGCGAGCGCAGCGACACGGGAGACATGTCCGACTTGGTGGACCGTCGCTCGCTCATGTTCTTGGACACTGCAGTCATCGAAACAGGAAATAATTAATCTTGCACCAGGCATTGCAAGATTATTATGTTCCCGTGCAGAAAGACAGTAATCACAGAAACAGCAGCACTATGAATGGCCTGACCAGGAGAGGAGTTACTCCAGAGGGTTGGTGTGTAAACATAGTCAACACAGAGAGGAAAAAGAAGAAGCTAAGACAACAAGGTGGTCACAGACAGAAAAATGAAATGTCTGACAAATGTATAGGAAGATCAATGAAATGGGTATATTTGTACGGCCTCTTGCTAAAAGTAATTGTTTTAATTTGTGGGAATATGAATAATATTACTACAGCACTTGATTCATTTTTAAACAAGGCATAACTCCTCTTCTCTCAGTATGGCCATGCAGAATGTGAAACATCTACTGCCCACTAGGAGGCAGTGTACGGCAAGATAAACACTCAAGTGAACAAAACTTAATTCCAAGTGAATCGAGGAAATGTTGTCCCATTTGTCAGGGACACATTTGTTCCATTTGTCCCATGTTGTCAGGTGTTGTTCCCCTGAAAGTACTACTACAGTGGGTGTTTAATAACTACTGTGGAGAGATTAGACAAACCCCAAAACATTTTGGATTATATGTGTAGGAGACTAAAATGACGCAGTTCTGTGACAGTCCATCTCTGTGGGCAGCTGGGAACATCAGAGTTCAGAGAATATCCAACCCTGCCACAGTCAGTGGTGAAAAAGAGATGATATAGCCTAGTATTACTTGGTGTGATTATAAGTATTATACCAGGGTTGGGGTCAATTCAGGAAGTAAACTGACGTTCCAATTCAATAACTGAAAAAAGGGCATCTATTTATTTCCATTTTTATTTTAAATTCAAATCACTTCCTGAATTGACTGCCTTCAATTTAAATAGACCCTGTGTTATACATTGTTGCATCTGGCCACCAAAATGGTAGTTAAGGTGTTGACTCAGACTCACAGGTGCTGTAGGCAGGCTCACACTGTAGAGACATGGTCTGGTGTTTCTCCTCCTCCATCTCCACTGCCAGGTTGGACAGGTACTGCTTGACCTTACGGGCCATCTGAGCGTCCTCGTACAGCTTCTTAGCGTTGAGCAGCGAGCTGCGACGCACACGCTTCTTATGGGCCCCGCCCTGCACGTCTAACATGTTGGAGTTGGTGCTGCCCTGACTCAGAGACCTGGATGGAGTGAGGAATGGAAGGAGCAACGGAGAGAAGTATGGGGAGAGAAAGGAAGGGACAGATGGAGGTAGGGATGAAGAGAATAAGAGAGGAATGGAGGGAGGGAGACCGGTCAGTTATTCAGGACTTCAGCGGAGACATTAAACAGGGAGCGAGACCGGTCAGTTATTCAGGACTTCAGCGGAGACGTTAAACAGGGAGCGAGACCGGTCAGTTATTCAGGACTTCAGCGGAGACGTTAAACAGGGAGGGAGACCGGTCAGTTATTCAGGACTTCAGCGGAGACATTAAACAGGGAGGGAGACCGGTCAGTTATTCAGGACTTCAGCGGAGACATTAAACAGGGAAAGAGACACCAAACAGACATGCTCTGCAGGTTATGGTCATGCAGTCTCTCAAAACTATTACCTTCCTGTCAAACTGTCACTGTAGCACACTCTGGACATTCAGAAAGCACTTTATAACTGATGGGAAGGTCACTAAACATGATTCTGTATACAGTGCATTGGAGCATAGCAGGTTATAAACAACCATGCAACAAGGATGCCTCTCGCTAATCCACCATGCTAGAAAAATTGGTAAATTAATAACAAAAAATAACATTCTGTTTGATGAAGAAAACGGTTAGAAAATTAAATGAATCTGGGTAAAATGCAGGATGCACACACAATGCAAAACAGACTCATCTGATCCAATGGTGAACTTTTGGATAGGATGGATTTAGGTGAACTTTTGGATAGTGGACCGATCGACACACGAAAGGGGCATGCGGTTTGGGAGGGCGCTGATGACTGGGGGGAGGGGATGCATGGTGACTGGGGGGAGGGGAGGCATGATGACTGGGGGGAGGGGATGCATGGTGACTGGGTGGCTGGACTATTACAAGGGGACTTACCCTAAACTCTTCCACCTCTTCTTCCTGCAAGTAAGACCCAATGACATTGAAGCAATGTGGTTTAATGAAACAGTACAGTCAAGGAAGGACAGAGGCACAGTCACCACTGGAGGAGACAGAGGATGGGGACACACACAGGACCTCTCCCGAGTCCCTATATCAACAGTGTGTGTGTATGTGTGTTTGCCAAATGAAATGTGGTGGAGGATTGTCGGCTTTACCTAAAATCAGTATCTGTTTAAATAGTTATACTAAAAGGTGCAACTCAGTGAATCCAACTTCTGTTTTTACATCATCTACAGCAGCAGTGAGACAATGGAGAGAAGGGTGTGTTGATCATTTCTGTTTTGAGAGTGAATGTATAGGGGGCACTGGTGCTGCTTGGTGTGGAGGGAGTCTGAAGGGAGCAGTGGTGCTGCTTGGTGTGGAGGGAGTCTGAAGGGAGCAGTGGTGCTGCTTGGTGTGGAGGGAGTCTGAAGGGAGCAGTGGTGCTGCTTGGTGTGGAGGGAGTCTGAAGGGAGCAGTGGTGCTGCTTGGTGTGGAGGGAGTCTGGAAGGAGCAGTGGTGCTGCTTGGTGTGGAGGGAGTCTGAAGGGAGCAGTGGTGCTGCTTGGTGTGGAGGGAGTCTGAAGGGAGCAGTGGTGCTGCTTGGTGTGGAGGGAGTCTGAAGGGAGCAGTGGTGCTGCTTGGTGTGGAGGGAGTCTGAAGGGAGCAGTGGTGCTGCTTGGTGTGGAGGGAGTCTGAAGGGAGCAGTGGTGCTGCTTGGTGTGGAGGGAGTCTGAACAGGGCAGGCATGCGCCGTCTGTGACAAGCTGGACTGTAGGATACAGTATGGTGGCAGAGAGAGAGTAGACAGAGGTCACCTCTAACCACTGATACCACTGAGGAACAGATATTATGTCATCCCCCTAATGGGTAAAGGTATAGTGTGATAGTTTGGCAATGAAGCCCCTTTTCTACTTACCAAGAGTCAGATGAACTCTTGCTCTATGACTTTAAGGTTAGGATTGGTGGAGGGCCCATATTCATAAAGCATCTCAAAGTATGAGTGCTGATCTGGGATCAGGTCATCCGAGTCCATGTAATCTATTTCAATATTATCTAAAAACCTAAATCTGTGGTTAAGGGCTCCAGTATGGGGCCAGGGGAGAGAGTACCCACCTCTGTCTAAACATGAGAGCTGGGTCCATGTTGGCTGAAGTCATACGGACCACGTGACGGATCTCCTTAGCAATCATCCTTAGCTTTTCAAAGTTCACCAGGCCGTCTACGTGAGAGTCATTACCTGTGGGGGAAACAGTCAGTGAGCTTTTCTTCACCTTCATTAAAAGGGGCAATCTATGATTAGAAAAAACAAAAAAACAAACACAGCGTTCACCCCCCACCACTTGATTTGGTAAATATCTGGGGGATAAGGCTGGAGATATGTAACCACTCTCAACAGGTCGACTCTCAAACAATGTTTTCTTCAGCCTGTTTTAATTGGGATGCATTTAAGAGCCGAACGCTGGTTTCTGATCTAGAAGGGAGTCTGTTACTTAACGTGGATCTGTTGATGTGTTCTCACAGCTTTTCACTTTAGATGGGAGTGACTGATTTACTTCTCACATCATTATCCAGCATCTACACCCCTGCTAGTACCATGTGATTAATGGGTTCCCCTGCTAGTACCATGTGATTAATGGGTTCCCCTGCTAGTACCATGTGATTAATGGGTTCCCCTGCTAGTACCATGTGATTAATGGGTTCCCCTGCTAGTACCATGTGATTAATGGGTTCCCCTGCTAGTACCATGTGATTAATGGGTTCCCCTGCTATACCATGTGATTACAATGGGTTCCCCTGCTATACCATGTGATTACAATGGGTTCCCCTGCTATACCATGTGATTACAATGGGTTCCCCTGCTATACCATGTGATTACAATGGGTTCCCCTGCTATACCATGTGATTACAATGGGTTCCCCTGCTATACCATGTGATTACAATGGGTTCCCCTGCTATACCATGTGATTACAATGGGTTCCCCTGCTATACCATGTGATTACAATGGGTTCCCCTGCTATATCATGTGATTACAATGGGTTCCCCTGCTATACCATGTGATTAATGGGTTCCCCTCTGTGCAACACATCCCACTGTGAAGGCAACATGATGAAAATCATCATCATCAAATGATCCGTTTCCTGTTTTAGTACTATACCATTTATGGACTTTTAACTTCGCATAATCAAGAAACCTCCGTGTCTGTTCTAACTTGTTCTTATTATGGGATGGCAGAAAGGGAAGCAGAAGGAGGCGATAAGAGAAGTAAAACCTCTTGAGCAAGCTTGAGAATGACCACTGTTTCAGCTGAGCATGGGGAAGTGGAAAACCCAGGCCCATATGGAATCCACCCAGAAACAACATGTTAATGACCCCTATATGGTATGAAAGCATTTTCCATCGTAGCCCTTTCCACTCACAGGCCATGACATCCCGTATATGAATAAAAAAAATAGCAGATTCTGTCATTGATAAGCGCCTATATTGGAACGTAGTGGCTGTACAGTAACATGCTATACATGACGTCAGAGCTCTGGCTCTGCGCTTCACAGCGCTGTATGGGTTTTAACTGACAGCTGTTATAAACGTGAGCACAGCACGCGACAAAGAATACGCCCCCATCCCTCCCGCTAATTGGGTTACTTTTGCACATTCGTTGTTGTCTGAGATGGAAATACTGTAAATCAAGAGGAGTCGATGTGTTCTGAAAGATGAGACGTTGAGTATTATAATAAATACCTCTGATGTCATACAAGCAAACCACACACCCATAAGTCCAAATGTGCGCTTCACATTTCCATATTTGAAAACGCATGTCATTTACAGTATCAAAAGCACCTTACAGTTGAAGGCTTTTTGCTTGAGTCATAAAGGTGCATTGACATTACTTAGGAACTGTGCACAGTTTGGAGGTGTGTAGCCACTTGGAAACACCAGCTAGAACTCTCATTCAAACCCTTGTAATCGTTTTTTTTCCTTATCTTGCACATACTCCAAAATGTCGATGAATATTCTTATCATGTTACTGAACATTTCCAGAGTATTTTCATACTTTGTTATTGACAAATGCTGTGAAAAGTACAGTAAATGTAAAATTCACATGAAATCAACAGTGTAATTTGGATTCAGTCTTGTGTCAGTTGAACTGTTGTGTCCTCACCTTTTGTCTGACAATTTCCCCATAATCTCCAGTGCTCTTTCAACACGGGGGCCCCTCAGGGGTGCGTGCTCAGTCCCCTCCTGTACTCTCTGTTCACCCATGACTGCATGGCCAGGCACGACTCCAACACTACCATTAAGTTTGCCGACAACACAACAGTGTTAGGCCTGATCACCGACAACGATGGGACAGCCTATAGGGAGGAGGTCAGAGACCTGGCCGTGTGGTGCCAGGACAACAACCTCTCCCTCAACGTGACCAAGACAAAGGAGATGATTGTGGACTACAAGAAAAAAAAAAGAGGACTGAGCACGCCCCCATTCTCATCGACGGGGCTGTAGTGGAGCAGGTTGAGAGCTTCAAGTTCCTTGGTGTCCACATCACCAACAAACTATCATGGTCCAAACACACCAAGACAGTCGTGAAGAGGGCACAACAAAGCCTATTCCCCCTCAGGAGACTGAAAAGATTTGGTATGGGTCCTCAGATCCTCAAAAGGTTATACAGCTGCACCATCGAGAGCATCCAGACTGGTTGCATCACTGCCTGGTATGGCAACTGCTCGGCCTCCGACCGCAAGGTCTACAGAGGGTAGTGCATACGGCCCAGTACATCAATGGGGCCAAGCTTCCTGCCATACAGGACCTCTATACCAGGCGGTGTCAGAGGAAGGCCCTAAAAATTGTCAAAGACTCCACAGCCACCCTAGTCATTGACTGTTCTCTCCGCTACCGCATGGCAAGCGGTACCGGAGGGCCAAGTATAGGTCCAAAAGGCTTCTTAACAGCTTCTACCCCCAAGCCATAAGACTCCTGAACAGCTAATCAAATGGCTACCCGGACTATTTGCATTTTTTATTTTTATTTTTTACTTATCCATTTTTTACTTAACACTTATTTTTCTTAAAACTGCATTGTTGGTTAAGGGCTTGTAAGTAAGCATTTAACTGTAAGGTCTACACCTGTTGTATTCGGTGCATGTGACAAATACTATTTTATTTTATTTGAATAGCTATGGTCATGCATATGCTTTTTGTAGTTCTTCTGTTAGAAACATTTCAATTTGGCCCTATCCATATAGACCAATTTTCACGAGTGTAAAGGGGTTAAACAGTAAGTCTTTGAAATGCTGATGCTACTGACTAATGGACATGAGAACAGTCTTTTGTCTGATGAGTGCCTGACTTAGGCATGATGTACGTTATATAGGCTAGTACAGCACACAGAGTATACTGCTGGAAGGTGCAACATTCTCAATAGAAAAACACTACTTTAACTATCTAAAAGTTCACCTTGTAAATTCAACATGATGACGTTTTGATCAATTAATCAGATATGTTTACAATGGACATGAGGAAGACATTTTAGGCGGGCACTGAGAAAGGCCTCCATACCTTCATGTAGGAAGGTGAGGTCCTTCTTGACAACAGGGAACAGGGGGATGATGGGAGGCTGCATGCTCTGGCTGCTCAGGACATTGCGGTACTTGGCCATGTTCCTGGATGGGTCGAAGATGTCCTGCAGGTCCTGGAACAGCTTGTCGTACTTACTGGGCAGCTTCTCCCACGATGACCTAAGACGAGCTATTGGAGCCAGATTCAGACCACTGTAGGGGAGGAGACGAGGGTCAGAGTTCAGGGGTTAGGGTTCAGACCACTGTTATAGAGGACCCAAGGAGAGATGGTAAGCCAGAATGGCCAATAGGGCAGCAGGTGCCCATCTCCTGTGTCTGTACCGTGAGGCAGCTTGATGTACAAGTACACCCTGGACACGAACCTAGAGACAGGTTAGGGCTCAAAACTCTCATGTAGTGGCTTCCTTTTAATGTAACCTTTCCTTTGTGGTTTTCTGCCTTGGTCTCCATTCCTTCCTCCTCTCTTATCAAGGAAGTGGACAGATGAGAGGCGGCCCACTGTTAAACCTCATCGTCATCCCCTCCCAGTCTCTTCACATCAATGCAAATGAAGGACAGGAAGCAAGGGAAGGAAAGCACATGAGTATCGAGACACACAGAGACAGAGTGGACAACATATGGACCGCGGGAGCCCATTCAAACCTGCCCTGCCTCCCCCCCCTCCCCCCTCCCCTGGCAACGCTGCTCTAGAATGAGCCCCCTCCATGTTCTCTGCTCTGAAGTGGAATCTCCAGCCAGTAAGGTGTAATGACTGATCTGACTGATCTAAATCAAATCACATTTTATTGGCCAGATGCGCCGAATACAACAGGTGCAGACATTACAGTGAAATGCTTACTTACAGCCCTTAACCAACAGTGCATTTATTTTTAATAAAAAAGTAAAATAAAACAACAACTAAAAAGTATTGAGAAAAAAAGAGCAGAAGTAAAATAAAATAACAGTAGGGAGGCTATATATACAGGGGGGTACCGGTGTAGAGTCAATGTGCGGGGGCACCGGCTAGTTGAGGTAGTTGAAGTAATATGTACATGTGGGTAGAGTTAAAGTGACTATGCATAAATAATTAACAGAGTAGCAGCAGCGTAAAAAGATGGGGTGGGGGGGGCAGTGTAAATAGTCCGGGTAGCCATGATTAGCTGTTCAGGAGTCTTATGGCTTGGGGGTAGAAGCTGTTGAGAAGTCTTTTGGACCTAGACTTGGCACTCCGGTACCGCTTGCCGTGCGGTAGCAGAGAGAACAGTCTATGACTAGGGTGGCTGGATTCTTTGACAATTTTGAAGGCCTTCCTCTGACACCGCCTGGTATAGAGGTCCTGGATGGCAGGAAGCTTGGCGTCCCGCTCCTTGAAAGCGGGAGCTCTACATTTTAGCTCAGTGCGGATGTTGCCTGTAATCCATGGATTCTGGTTGGGGTATGTACGTACGGGTCACTGTGGGGACGACATCATCGATGCACTTATTGATGAAGCCAGTGACTGATGTGGTGTACTCCTCAATGCTATCTGAAGAATCCCAGAACATGTTCCAGTCTGTGCTAGCAAAACAGTCCTGTAGCTTAGCATTTGCGTCATCTGACCACTTTTTTATTAACCGAGTCACTGGTGCTTCCTGCTTTAGTTTTTGCTTATAAGCAGTAATGAGGAGGATAGAGTTATGGTCAGATTTGCCAAATGGAGGGCAAGGGAGAGCTTTGTATGCGTCTCTGTGTGTGGAGTAAAGGTGGTCCAGAGTTTTTTTTCCTCCTCTGGTTGCACATTTAACATGCTGGTAGAAATGAGGTAGAACGGATTTAAGTTTCCCTGCATTAAAGTCCCCGGCCACTAGGAGCGCTGCCTCTGGATGAGCGTTTTCCTGTTCACTTATGGCCTAATACAGCTCATTCAGTGCAATCTTAATGCCAGCATTGGTTTGTGGTGGTAAATAGACAGCTATGAAAAATATAGATGAAAACTCTCTTGGTAAATAGTGTGGTCTACAGCTTATCATAAGATACTCTACCTCAGGCGAGCAAAACCTTGAGACTTCCTTAGTATTTGATTTTGTGCACCAGCTGTTGTTTACAAATATACACAGACCGCCACCCCTTGTCTTACCGGAGTCAGCCGTTCTATCCTGCCGATGTAGCGTATAGCCCGCTAGCTGTATGTTGTCCATGTCGTCGTTCAGCCACGACTCGGTGAAACATAAGATATTACAGTTTTTAATGTCCCGTTGGTAGGATATCCGTAATCTTAGGTCATCCAATTTATTCTCAAATGTTTGAAGATTGGCTAATAGGATTGATGTAAGAGGCAGTTTACTCGCTCGCTGTCGGATCCTTACAAGGCACCCCAACCTACGTCCACGATATCTCCATCTCTTCCTCATGCGAATGACGGGGATTTGGGCCTTGTCGGGGGTCTGTAGGATATCCTTCACGTCCGACTTGTTGAAGAAAAATTATTCGTCCAATACGAGGTGAGTAATCCCTGTCCTGATATCCAGAAGCTATTTTTGGTTATAAGAGACGATGGCAGAAAACATTATGTACAGAATAAATTACAAATAACGTGGAAAAACACACATAATAGTACAATTGGTTAGAAGGCTGTAAAACGGCAGCTATCTTCTCCAGCGTCATTATTTTATTGATAATGGCGCCGGAGAAGATGTGGGCTTGAGAATGACTCATTACACATTGGAGGACACAGACAGTAGGGAACACACACACAAAGCTCCCTGAGGATTGACGGCATAATGGACAACAGAAGCTCAATGTAGCAATACAAAGCCGAACCATAGAAGTCTGAGTTAACAAAATAACAAACCATAAATGTAATAACTGTACATTTTGACAAGCAATAAGTAGAAGGGACAGATATTTGATTGTGGGTACACTGATGCAATAAACTGCTTGAATGGAAACAGATTGAGAATAGAACAAGGAGTGTGGGACTGCTCTCCTGGTTTCTAGCCAGGCAAACACATCTGGTAGCAACGATGGAAGCCAGAATAAACCCACCTGATGATGGCGAACATGGAGTTGAAGTTCTTGCACTCTCTACAGTGCAGGGCGATCTTAATGAAGTGTTTGATGGTCTTCATCCTCTTCATGGCGTTGGGCTCCCTCAGGATCTCCGTGGCGACCCAGAAGGTCTCCTGGTTGATGACCTCCTCAAACTGCTTGAGGTGTGTCTGTTGGAGACCCCCCGAGGAATCCAGCAGCTTGAAGAGGTCGTCCACGTACTGAGTGGACTCAATGTTACGGAACAGCTCAAAGTCCCTCATGGAGAGCTGGGCGGCCACCTGAAGAACAACAAGAAGAACTTTATGAATATATAGAGACAGGAATGTTTCTAGTGCTGTACTGTATACAAGCCCTATGATAAACACACACACACAAATACAGAAACACACATACACCAAAGAGACAAACACACAAATACACCAAATAGACACACACACACACACACACACACACACACCTCCACGGTGCTGAGCTGGAGCAGGGTGATCTGACTCTCCTTCAGCAGCTCCTGGGCGTCATCGTCTGAACACAACGTCTCTGTCTCCATGTTGTTCTTCAGGTAGTACCTGGGGAGGGGGACGGGGAGACGGGATATTAGCCGTTAGGCCTATACTAAGGATAATACCAGACAGACATCAGAAAACATTGTGTTGATTACAAAGCAGATTAGTCATTATTAAATTCATCATTATAAAATGTATTACCACATGAAAAAACGTAACCAAAATGCCACCATTATTGTATGTATTGTGCGTATATTATGTAAACTCCCTGGTCAACACCACCAAGGCAGCAGCAGCATTAAGATGCTGGCCAGAGAGGCCCTGGCCCCGACAGTGGTGATCCATTTAAGCCATACATTTCCCCCTGGGTGGGTGAGAGAGAGACATTTTGCCCCGATGCCCTTTTCTGGGAGAGCGTCCAAGAGCAGCACATTGGACTAGTGGTTCTTAATGGAGCCATAATGTGTCTATAGCCCTGCCAACGCCATCAGGAATGGGATAAATAAGTGATGGGTAGAGGGGGGTAGCTGGATAGCTGGATCCACTGGCCTCCTGGAAGGAGAGGGAGCTGGGGCTCTGCTGGCTGGATCCACTGGCCTCCTGGAAGGAGAGGGGGCTGGGGCTCTGCTGGCTGGATCAGGAGAGGGGGCTGGGGCTCTGCTGGCTTGATCACTGGCCTCCTGGAAGGAAAGGGGGCTGGGGCTCTGCTGGCTGGATCCACTGGCCCCCTGGAAGGAGAGGGGGCTGGGGCTCTGCTGGCTGGATCCACTGGCCCCCTGGAAGGAGAGGGGGCTGGGGCTCTGCTGGCTTGATCACTGGCCCCCTGGAAGGAGAGGGGGCTGGGGCTCTGCTGGGGCTGGAGCTGAGGCAGGACCTAGGGCTGGAGCTGAGGCAGGACCTAGGGCTGGAGCTGAGGCAGGACCTAGGGCTGGAGCTGGCTTGGGAGACTGGCCTGACTAAATGGTTGCATGGGCTTGACAGGAGGGACTGAGTGAGGACTGGATGGTTTCTGCTGGCTAAGCTTGTGTATCTCTGACCCAGTCATATCAAGTGGTCCATTATAGTTCAGTTGGTAGAGCATGGCGCTTGTAACGTCAGGGTAGTGGGTTCGATTCCCGGGACCACCCATACGTAAAATGTATGCACGCATGACTAAGTCACTTTGGATAAAAGCATCTGTTAAATGACATATACATTTAGTGTACAAAACAATAAGAACACCTGCTCTTTCCATGACATAGACTGACTAGGTGAATCCAGGTGAAAGCAATGATCCATTATTGATGTCACTTGTTAAATCCACTTCAAATCAGTGTAGATGAACGGGAGGAGACAGGTTAAAGAAGGTTAAGACTTGAGACAATTGAGACATGGATTGAGGAGCTGGGGGGACGGAGAGGAGCTGGGGGGACGGAGAGGAGCTGGGGGGGCGGAGAGGAGCTGGGGGGACGGAGAGGAACAGGGGCGGAGGCGGCCATTTTAGCTGAGGCTATCTGAGAGGGCATTTCTAGGAAGGAAGAAGAGGTGGGGTAGGAAGGAATTAGGGGAGATGGGGAGCCTATGCTGTCCCTCCCTGTCACACTACAATCTAACCCATTTTCAGACCTGAGGGGAACTAAGGTGGAAGAAGTTGCACCAAACCACTGATACAGGGTCAGATCATCTTCTCCCATTTTCTATCCTCCTAATGGTTGAATGTTAGGATTGAGGTGGGCTAATCTGATCCTAGATCTACATTTGTTTTACCTGCCATTGAGCTGGAAGCGGTCAGCCAGCTTAGAGAGCTGGTCAGGTAGCCTGCGTTGTTTGATGACGCCCTCGGGACTGACAGACACCTCACAGAGGGAGTAGGTCTCCGGGGTCGCGATAAGGCCAAACTCGTTGACCACGTGAGTGACCACATCCATGGCCGTGGTGTCCTTACTGATGATGATGTAACAGCTCTGCTGGTCAGCCTTGAACACCCGGATCACCTGGTCTGGAATGTCTGACAGGTGGAGGAGAAGAACAGGTTTGAAGAGTTATGATGGACGGAATACCAGAACACATACGATTCCCCTAGATTGTGCACTACTTTAGACCATGGCCCATAGAGCTCTGGTCAAAGGTAGTGCACAACAATATAGGGAATATGGTGCCATCTGTGACGCACATATCTGAACATGGCCGATACATAAACAGAAAAATCTAATTAAACGCATTCAAGAGAAAAGTGAACCATTTGCAACATTTAGATTATTGATTTAATCAGGGGAGCCCACTTGAGACCAGTGTCTTCATCTGCAATGGTGCCATGAGGACACAAATCAATACAACAAAACATAAAGAGAAACTACAAGACAGCTATAAACACATGACATCAGGTTATTACAACAAGTTATAATAGTCAACTGAAACAATTGCACACTTCAGTGAACTCATTTTACAACAGTTTTAAACTGCCCTATCGGCACCAGGGAACCCAGGTGGAATTTGCTTTGTAAGGTATTCCATAACTGTGGTGCGTTAAAACTAAAGGTGGATTTACCAAACTTTGTGGAGACAAGCGGGACCTCAGGAGTTAACCAACCCTGCCAACGGGTCTGGTATCTCATGTTTTTCCTATTTCAACAGGGAAGTGAGGTATGTTGGAAGCTTGTGGAACAGAGCTTTGTAAACAAGAAGGGAGTAATGAAGTGATCTACGGGACTTTAGTGACGTCCAGCCGACCTTCTGATACAGGATGCAGTGATGAGTATTAAAACTGTCACCTGTAATAAAGTGAAGGGCGCTATGGTAGACAGCATCCAATGGTTTAAGAGCAGTGGCTGCTGCAGTCTGGTAAATGGTGTCACCATAGTCAAGAACTGGCAGGAAAGTTGACTGCACAATCTGTTTCCTGCTGTTCATGGAGGCAATATCTATTTCTAAAAAAGAAGCCCACTTTAAATCTAAGCTTTTTCAACTAGCTCATCAGTACGTATTTTTTAAATGTTAGATCTTTATCAATCCAAATGGCCGAAAGTAAAAAGGAAGGAAGGAAACAACCCTTGCGGCTAAAAGATATGCATGTAAGATGCATTTCCCAGTATGGCAAAGGGAACAAGCACTTCATACTTGCTCTGCTTGCACACAAAAGTGGTTGTGGTCCATTACACACACATCAGCAGGGTAAAACAATGAGGCATGAATAGTGGAGGACGACAAGCTGTATCGGAAGAGGGGAGGAGGTGAAGAGGCTGGAATAAAGGCATCACATCGGCAGTAGATAGTGTCTGTGACTGTCTGGGAGCAGTCACGCAGGGAGTCTAATGACAGAAAGAGAGACATCACTTCAAGAGGTAAACATAAAGAAAAGGTTGAATGGTCCTAGTTGACAGATGACTAACAGTGCACTGCTCCCTCTGTCCCTCCCTCCCTCCCCTGTAGAGTGAAGCATGCTCAATGGACTGTGAGACACCGTCATTATGGTAGCTATGTGCTCCTTAGTGGTGTTACCTTCACACTGGCTGGGCCCATAACTAGAACCCTCATCACTATTACAGCAGCAGGTTTAGCAGCCATAACCAATCATTTTCAACCTACTCAAACTAAAAGTGGAGGTGAGATGAAAATAAATGATCTGAGACTCATTAGCTATGATTTGTGATTAGGGTCTGGAGCAATCACAGGGTTCTCCCCAGGATTTTTTAACAAGGTGGTGCTGCTGAGTTTTTGAACACCTGTAACTGCCATTTCCTGCAATCTAGAGAAAAAATTGCCTTACTGTATGATAAGAAAACAAGGTGCCTCTCTTACATTCTTTGGGGAGAACCCTGGATCATATACTGTCCTATCATATGTAATCATTATCTTTACCCCCCCACCTGACAGGACCAATACGGACTTAACGGATGAGAGTGATCCCTGTGCCTCTCCGGGATGATTAATGATTAGCCAATCATTTATGGTGTCATGAGAGAGACAGAGTATAAACAGGGAAAGCCTCCTGGCTCCCGGGCTCCACCTAACGCCCCCCAGGCCTGTGTCCCGCTCACCATCACAGAACCACTAGATCTAAATCATACCTACAGCAGCAACAGTAGACAGGGGCAGAGCACCACAGCTAGGAGAGAGTGCAGGGCAAGGCATGGCCCTTTAACACGAAGCTAGGGCTCCTTTAACAAACACACTCAGCCATCACTAAGAATAGGTCCCAATTAACTCAACTCATTTTGACCAGGTCTCATAAGGTGCTTTTTAAAAGTAGAGCACTATGTAGGGAACAGGGTGCCATTTGGGACGAAGCCAGAGAACACCACGCAGAGCCCAACTTAGACTGGTGTTCAGGACATTCGACACAGAGACAGAACTTAAAAGCTCATAAATGAAGGAGAAAAAAACGATGACGACGACTAGGAAGCGTAAACGAAACATCTCCAAAACAAACAAACAGCCCAAATGATTCCATTCCAAGAAACCACATAGATACTTACAGTGGAAGCCCACGGCTGTGGAAGCAGAGAGAAGAGAGGGAAGCGAGAGAGAGAGAGGGAGGGAGAGAGAGAACAGTGGTTGGAAATATAAAAGAGACAGGATTAGAATGGCAGCTTTTTCCTGTGCGTCGTTGTGGGAGAAGTCAGCGGGGCAGAAGGACTTGTGTCATGGCTTTCACTAAAGCATCTGTTTACAATCAGATCAGTGTACTGGAGAGAGGGAGGGAGGGCATAGTGTGTGTGTGACAACAGAGAGCTGAGATCTGAGTCTGCCGCAGTGACTCGAGGCTGCATGCACGGACAATACAAACACAAGAACCCCCAGGCAAGCCTTCTTACACCCTACCAAAAGGCTAGAAGAATTACACTGTATTTAACGCCAAACTCCAGTTTTACCGTTATTTTATCCATTATTCACAGTGGTTGGTGGAGAAGAGAAACGGACTAATAGAAGATGATTAATATCTCAGTTTGCTTGGGGCTGCAGACTGGAGACTGGGCCCTCTGGCCGCTGGCTGCTGGCTACGTTGAATGGCAAATGGTCGAAGAGGATAAATCAAAACCATACTCTCCCCTACACTCCACCCCCTCTCCTCTCGCTGCTCTCCCTGGGGAGGACGCTTAGTTGTTTCAGTAATTATGGGGTCTGAAATCTGTCCGGGAAAAAACTGATTATAATTGTTCAGCGTTTAATCCCTTTCATATGGCTCTAATTCTATTTAATGTCCAAGCTCTTGAAATGGAAATGCTTGAGAGACACAGAGAGGAGAAGCGGATCGCCTGTGTGTGTGTGTGTGTGTGTGTGTGAAGTGCTCATATTATTAATTATGTGATTAACCAGAGGGACTGAGTTTCTTCACTGGCCAAGCAGGAAGCGCTTTCTATCTCTGAGAGAAGTATTGCTCCATGAGTAATGACGGCTGTTTTCCCACTGCGCAGCTCCAGTTTTATCCCTATATAACCCAGTCTGAAGAGGCCATACACTTGAAAAATGAACAAGATAAACACGAATGTAAAGTGTGCCCATCTTCAATTGTTAATTGCCTCCGTGTAGTTGTGAGCAGTAGTCATTACCCAAACCGTGATCGCAAGGCATATTGGAGATGCTCTGGTTAACATGACAGTGGTGACATATTGCCCATCGGCTGCCCTGGTGGTGATGAGTGCTTCTGTGTGTGTGTGTCCATCTCTCACCTGCGGGGTTGGAGAAGTCCAGCACACTGGTGGCTGGCTGCAGCAGATCAGGACTGCTGGATGACATGCTGCCAGGGATGGGCATGATGACCATGCTGTGCCTACACTGCTTAGTGCCCACCATGCTGTCATCCTGAGACTGGCCCACGCCGCCATCACTGTGGCAGAGAGAGACAGAGAGAGGGAAGGGGGAGAAAGAAGGATTTAGACTGGATAACACTCAGGATTAGTGTCTGGATTAAGGAACTCCTGGCCCCAGAGCCTAATATGGATCTGCCTGGCCCTATTCAATCTCACTGCATGTGGCAACAGAAACAGTTGAATCGGCGTTCCTGGTCTTCCTGATATCCACACAGGTGTACTGCTATCATGGCAATCCTTTTATAGGTAGTGATGGGTACTTATGGGGATGGTTGACACCCATCCATGACAGATCACATGAATGATGCGGCTGATCAATACAAACAGGCCCAGGAGTGTTGACACAGCACAGTGAACACACACAACACACATCAATAAGACACACAGAGATACCTCTTGGAGTGATGGGTCTTTTTGCCAACACATGGCTAACCTTTGTTTAAGCAGCTAAATGGCTGCTCTAGGCAAAAACATGACTGTAGTTACCTTTCTAGCTAATAGGCTATGCTAGAGTATATAATTGGAAGACGATGTGTAATGTGGGGAGGTCAAAATAATGGAAAACTATCCATTATAAAATCTTGATTACTTCTCCTTGCCATTATCATTGACCTGATGATAAGACAAGATATGTGAAAAATAATAATTGCTAACGTATGATGGGGGTTCCTGGGTGGCCGGTTTGCCTGGGAGGGGGTCCCTGGACAGGAAAAGGTTGAAGGCCCCCTGCCCTAATTGACTGATTCTGCACTAAACACCCCTCACAGGTGGGAAAAGGAAAAGGGACGGGCTGACGTGCAAACCAATATTTAGGCCTAGGCCTAATTTCTGAATTGGTTAACATTAGATAAAGGTTAGGGTTTGGGTTATGATTAAGGTTAACGTAAGGGTCAGTTTTAGATTTTTGGCTAGTCGTGCTATCAATGGGATGCTGATCAGAAAAGTTCTCAGGTGGACTGAATGAGTGACACTTCTAGGCCACTTCTCCCTCCAATAACAAACACAGACTGATGAGGGGCGAACATAGCCTGGTGGTCCCAGATCCTTTTGAGCAGTCTTTCCAACACCTATGGTTTGACAAGCCAATGACCATAGGAGTTTACAAGACAAAGAGATCATGGACCAGGCTAAGGCAGGCTACAGAGAAACTAGAGCTGGGGATGGAACAGAGAGAGAGCGAGAGACAGAGAGGAGAGACAGAGAGAGAGAGAGAGAGAGAGACAGAGAGAGAGAGAGAGACAGGCAGAAGAGAGCGAAGAGACAGAGAGCGAGAGACGAGAGCAGAGAAGAGCGGAGAGACAGAGACGAGACAGAGAGCGAACGAGAGCGAGACAGAGAGCGACAGATGAGAGGAGCGAGACAGAGAGCGACGAGACAGAGAGCGAGAGAGAGCAGAGAGCAGAGACGAGAAGAGCGAGACGAGAGAGAGAGCGAGACAGACGCGAGAGAGAGGAGACAGACAGAGAAGAGCAGACAGACAGAGAGAGAGCGAGACGGAGCGCGAGAGAGAGAGAGACAGACAGAGCGAGAGAGCGAGACAGACAGAGAGAGCGAGAGACGAGCGCGAGAGGAGAAGAAGAGCGAGAGAGAGAGACAGAGCAGAGAGAGAGCGAGGAGAGAAGCAGAAGAGGAGAGCAGAGAGAGCAGAGAGGCGAGCAGAGAGAGAGAGCGAGAGCGGAGAGGACAGAGCGGAGACAGAGAGCGGAGAGCGAGACAGAGAGCGAGAGCGAGACAGAGAGCGAGAGCGAGAACAGAGGAGCGAGACGCGAAGAGCAGAGAGGGACAGAGAGCGAGAGCGAGAAGAGCGAGAGCGAGACAGGAGAGAGCAGACAAGGAGAGCGAGAGACAAGAGACGAGACAGAGAGCGAGACAGTGCGAGAGCGAGAGCGAGACAAGTGGGAGTAGCGAGACAAGTAGTGAAGCGAAGACAGAGAAGAGGAGCGAGACAGAGCGAGAGGAGACACGAGAGCGAGACAAGGAGGAGAAGGAGAGCGAGGACAAGAGCAGAGGACAGAGCGAGACGAGAGCGAGAGAGAGAGAACAGAGCGAGAGAGAGAAGAGAGAGAAGAGCAAGAGCGAGGACAGAGCGAGAGGACACACAAGCGAGAGAGGGAGAGAGAGCAAGAGAGGAGAGACAAGAGAGAGAGAGAGAGACACAGAGGGGAGAGAGACACAGAGCGAGAGAGAGAGGGACACAGAGCGAGAGAGAGGACAGAGCGAGAAGAGAGACAGACGAGAGCGAGAGAGACACAGAGCGAGAGAGAGGAGACACAGAGCGAAAGACACAGAGCGAGAGAGAGACACAGAAGGACGAGAGAGAGAGACACAAGACAGAGCGAGAGAGAGAGAGACACAGAGCGAGAGAGAGAGAGACACAGAGCGAGAGAGAGAGAGACAGAGCGAGAGAAGAGCGAGAGACACAAGAGCGAGAGAGAGGACAACAGAGGGAGAGAGAGAGGTGACACAGAGCGAGGAGAAGAGAGAGTGACACAGAGCGAGAGAGAGAGACACAGAGGCGAGAAGAGAGAGACACAGAGCAGAGAGAGAGACGAACACAGAGCGAGAGAGAGAGAACAGACGAGACGAGAGAGAGAGAGACAGAGCGAGAGAGAGAGAGCGAGGAGAGAGAGAGCGAGAGACAACGAGCTAGAGAGTGACAGAGCGAGAGAGAGTGACACAGAGCGAGAGAGAGTGACACAGAGCGAGAGAGAGTGACACAGAGCGAGAGAGAGTGACACAGAGCGAGAGAGAGTGACACAGAGCGAGAGAGAGTGACACAGAGCGAGAGAGAGTGACACAGAGCGAAGAGAGAGTGACAAGAGCGAGGAGAAGAGAGAGAGACAGAGCGAGAGAGAGGAGGACAGAGCGAGAGGAGAGAGAGAGACAGAGCGAAGAGAGGACAGAGAGAGCAGAAGCGGAGAGAGAGAAGAGCGAGAGAGAGACAGAGCAAGAGAGAGAGACGCAGAGCGAAGAGAGAGGAGAGGAGAGACAGAGCGAAAGAAGACGAGAGAGAGACAGAGCGAGAGAGAAGAAGACAGAGCGAGAGGAGAGACAGAGGAGAAGAGAGACAGAGCGAGAGAAGAGACAGAGCGGAGAGCAGAGCAGAGCGAGCGAGAGAGAGAGAGACAGAGCGAGAGAAGAGAGAGACAGAGCGAGAGAGAGACAGAGCGAGAGAGAGAGAGAGAGACAGAGCGAGAGAGAGAGACAGAGCGAGAGACAGAGAGAGACAGAGCGAGAGAGAGAGAGCGAGAGAGAGACAGAGCGAGAGAGAGACAGAGCGAGAGAGAGAGAGAGAGACAGAGTGAGAGAGAGACAGAGCGAGACAGAGACAGACATAGAGACAGAGACAGAGCGAGAGAGACAGAGAGACATTGACATTACTGAGCCCTGCTGTAGAAAAGCCTTGGTAATCTTTGCAGTGAGTCGATGGCTGCTTCTGCACCAGGAGGTAATGGCAGAAATTTGATGGGATAAAACTTAGCCCAGTTACCCAGCCTTACACCCTAAGGTGATTCAGATGTGTACAGTACATCTAGGATTAGGTATGTCTGCACTTTTCATCATGCTATTATTGGCATGTACCGTACTTTTACTTGAATCACAATCCAATTCATACCTGTCATTTAGAACAAGGTATGTATGTAGTTCATACATATGTTGTATGTATGAACTAACTGTGAAGGGAAGCACTACGGCAGGGGTGTCAAACTCATTCCATGGAGAGCCTAGTGTCTGCAGGTTTTTGTTTTTCCTTTCAATTAAGCCCTAGACAACCAGGTGAGGGTTCCTTACTAATCAGTGACCTTAATTCATCAATCAAGTACAAGGGAGGAGCGAAAACCCCGTAGACACTCAGCCCTCTGTGGAATGAGCTGCACAATGTGAATGAAAGTAAACCCAGAGCACAGAGCCAGATCACCCTGAACTTTACATGACATTCTACTGTATTCAACTAGAGCTAGTCTAGCCTTGAACCTGTAGAGAATTCTACAGTGGAATAAACAGGTACAGTAGGAACGGAACAGAACGCCTATGGGTTTCAAGGAGAGCTTGAATCTTAAGCACCTCGGTAGCTTTAGGGATGTGTGCAGATACTGCATGAATTTGCATGAATATCACAATGCAGTCCTCTAGCTTTTAGTTCAAGGTCAGTTATGAATTCATCCCCGCCTACAATGACTGTGTGTGTGTGTCTCAAATGGCACCCTATTCCCTATGTAGTGCACTGCTTTTGACCGGGGCCCATGTAGGGCATAGAGCGACATTTGGGACTCAGACTGCGTTTTCACCACATTGCCACTGAATGGAGGGGACTAGTAACACAAGTGTCTTACCCAAAGAGTCCCCTGTGCAGGCGAGGCAGTTACAGAGCGAGACGGGAGAGACAGAGGACAGTGAAGAGCATGAGAACAACAGACAGCAAGGCTAAAGCACAGTACAGTGTGTCAGCACCATGTTAACACTGAGCAGAGACAACAAAACAGACAATGAGGAGACAAGGGGGCACGGCCACCGTATCCACACCGTATCCACACCGTATCCACACCGTATCCACACCGTATCCACACCGTAGACACACAGTAGACACACAGTAGACACACAGTACATGCATCGGCACGTCACAGTCAGAAGCACATGGGCAGACATTAAAAGTATCGAAAAACAAATACGCTGATTTAGTTGAACCAATCGTCACTGACGTAACCAACATCGTCACATTAATCAAATATACAGTACCAAAATATACAGTAGTCAAAAGTTTGGCCACACTTACTCATTCAAGGGTTTTTCTTTATTTTTACTATTTTCTACATTGTAGAATAATAGTGAAGACATCAAAACTATGAAATAACACATATGGAATCATGTAGGAACCAAAAAAAGTGTTAACCTTTACGGGATCGGTGTCCCATATACGGGACGGTTGAGCTAACGTGCGCTAATGTGATTAGAATGACAGTTGTAAGTAACAGCAAACTTTCCAGGACATAGACATGTCTTTTAAGGGCAGAAAGCTTAAATTCTTGTTAATCTAACTGCAATGTCCAATTTACAGTTGCTATTACAGTGAAAAAATACCATGCTATTGTTTGAGGAGAGTGCACAACAACAAAAAACGTATCACGACAACTGGTTTGATACATTCACCTCTGAAGGTAAATAATGTACTTACATTCAGTATTCTTGCTCTGATTTGTCATCCTAAGGATCCCAGAGATAAAATGTAGCATAGTTTTGTTTAAAAAAAATCCATTTTTATATTCAAATGTAGGAACTGGGTTCTACAGTTGGAACCCCTGCTGTCTCTGGCTCCACACCCACCCCGCCCGGCCATCTAGATGTCTGAAAGTTAGTGTATAAGCGAATGATCCATCATGTATGACATTCCTGGGAGTGTGTAAACTTACATTTTGTATTACCATATCATTTTTGTATGTTCTCTATAGTTATGTACTTGAAAATGTATCAATTGACCAATTCGGCACATTTGGGCAGACTTGATATAAAATAGTGCAGTATTGCAATGCTTCACTGGATCAATCTGAAACGTTGCACACACACAGCTGCCATCTAGTGGCCAAAATCTAAATTGCGCCTACACTGCAATATTATATTGTGGCCTTTCTCTTGCATTTCAAAGATGGAACAAAAAAACAAATGCATATTTTTTTGTATTATCTTTTCCAGAACTAATGTGTTATATTTTCCGACATTAATTTCACATTTCCACAAACTTCAAAGTGTTTCCTTTCAAATGGTATCAAGAATATGCATAGCCTTGCTTCAGGTCCTGAGCTACAGGCAGTTATATTTGGGTATTTAAGTCAGAAAAAAGGGTCTGATCCTTAAGAGGTTAAACAAATCAAAATATATTTTATATTTCAGATTCTTCAAATAGCCACCCTTTGCCTTGTTGACAGCTTTTCACACTCTTGGCATTCTCTCAACCAGCTTCATGAGTTAGAGACCTGGAATGCATTTCAATTAACAGGTGTGCCTTCTTAAAAAGTTAATTTGTGGAATTTCTTTCCTTCTTAATGCGTTTGAGCCAATCAGTTGTGTTGTGACAAGGTAGGGGGTATACAGAATATAGCCCTATTTGGTAAAATACCAAGTCTATATTATGGCAAGAACAGCTCAAATAAGCAAAGAGAAACAACAGTCCATCATTACTTTAAGACATGAAGGTCAGTCAATACGGAACATTTCAAGAACTTTTAAAGTTTCTTCAAGTGCAGTCGTAAAAACTATCAAGCGCTATGATGAAACTGGCTCTCATGAGGACTGCCACAGGAATGGAAGACCCAGAGTTACCTCTGCTGCAAAGGAAAAGTTCATTAGAGTTACCAGCCTCAGAAATTGCAGCCCAAATAAATGCTTCACAGAGTTCAAGTAACAGACACATCTCAACATCTACTGTTCAGAGGAGACTGAGTGAATCAGGCATTCATGGTCGATTGCTGCAAAGAAACTACTACTAAAGGACACCAATAAGAAGAAGATACTTGCTTGGGCCAAGAAACACGAGCAATGGACATTAGACCGGTGGAAATTTGTCCTTAGGTCTGGAGTCCAAATTTGAGATTTTTGGTTCCAACCGCCGTGTCTTTGTGAGACGTGGTGTGGGTGAACGGATGATCTCCGCATGTGTATTTCCCACCGTAAAGCATGGAGGAGGAGGTGTTATGGTGTGGGGGTGCTTTGCTGGTGACACTGTCTGTGATTTATTTAGAAGTCAAGGCACACTTAACCAGCATGGCTACCACAGCATTCTGCAGCGATACGCCATCCAATCTGGTTAGTGGGATTATCATTTGTTTTTCAACAGGACAATGACCCAACACACCTCCAGGCTGTGTAAGGGCTATTTTACCAAGAAGGAGAGTGATGGAGTGCTGCATCAGATGACCTGGCCACCACAATTCCCCGACCTCAACCCAAGTTAGATGGTTTGGGATGAGTCGGTCCGCAGAGTGATGGAAAAGCAGCCAACAAGTCCTCAGCATATGTGGGAACTCCTTCAAGACTTTTGGAAAAGCATTCCAGGTGAAGCTGGTTGAGAGAATGCCAAGAGTGTGCAAAGCTGTCAACAAGGCAAAGGGTGGCTATTTGAAGAATCGCAAAAATAAAATATATTTGGATTTGTTTAACACTTTTTTGGTTACTACATGATTCCATGTGTTATTTCATAGTTTTGATGTCTTCACTATTATTCTACAATGTAAAAAATAGTAAAAATAAAGAAAACCGTTGAACGAGTAGGTGTGTCCAAACTTTTGACTGATGGTGTATATATATTTTTTAAAGCCTCTAATATACATTTATACATTGCCACTGTCTTCATCAGGAAAGCCCCGGGACACTGTCTACTTTTGACAAACAGCCGGTATATCTACTTAAACACTTTTAAATGAAGATGAGTATAAGAAGTCGAGCTGAAGAGATGACACATACCCTGGCTATCCCTTGTAGTCATCTCACCAAATCACCACCACCTGTGTCCAGCTCAAACTACCTAGTCTATTGGCTGCCAATGGAATCCCAGTAAATCCGCTGGTTGGTCAACAGCAGCAAAGCCAGGTAGTCCTCAGATTGTCTTACTGTAGAATACTGCAGACTGGAGAGAGTAGCCTACTTCCCTGACCTGACCTTCCTCTTGGCATCAGAAAAGGCTCATGACTCAATTATCCCACCAGTCAGTGGAATAAAGACCTGCGCTTGCCCTGTACTGTCTTCACCACTGTTTACTAAACTAAGCATGTGCCCCAAATGGTACACTATTCCCTATGGGCCCTGGTCAGAAGTATTTGGTAGAGCAAAGAGGACATGTTCCATCTCATCAGCAGCCTATTGAGACGACAGCATAAAGCCATCCATCAGAAGTGACTGATGTCTTAAATCATACTGACTTAACTACCTTAGCACTAAGAACAACCACAAATGAAGCTGTTGATTAAGTTTACCATAGCCACTAGCTACTAGCATCCCTGCGGTGCGGTACTACCACTTTCTATCACAGCGTCAGTCCATAACAGACTACTGATGAAGCCTGGTGCTCCCGAATCAGTCTCTTTCATCTCCACTTTCTTTAACTCCTCTCAGAGTAAACAGAATACAAAATAAATAATTAAAGCCTTGTGATTTAGATACAGTTCTTGGTTGGCTATGGCAGATCAACGGCTTGATGATGATAAATGGTTTTATGAAATGGCGAGTAACTACAGTAAATTACACTTTTTCCACCCATGGCTGTCTCTTGTCCCTTCGCAGCAGACATGGTGTTTGGAACATCAAATTGCAATAAAATCACAGTGTCAAATCGCAATACATAAAGAATCGTAAGAATCACAATGCATTTCGTATCGGCACCTAAGTATCGTGATATCGTATCGTGAGGTCTCTGGCAATTCCCAGCCCTAGGTAGGATACAGTAGTGTTATTGTGCCTACCTGAAGGGTTTGGGTGGTAGGATACTATAGTGTTATTGTGCCTACCTGAAGGGTTTGGGTGGTAGGATACTGTAGTGTTATTGTGCCTACCTGAAGGGTTTGGGTGGTAGGATACTATAGTGTTATTGTGCCTACCTGAAGGGTTTGGGTGGTAGGATACTGTAGTGTTATTGTGCCTACCTGAAGGGTTTGGGTGGTAGGATACTATAGTGTTATTGTGCCTACCTGAAGGGTTTGGGTGGTAGGATACTATAGTGTTATTGTGCCTACCTGAAGGGTTTGGGTGGTAGGATACTGTAGTGTTATTGTGCCTACCTGAAGGGTTTGGGTGGTAGGATACTGTAGTGTTATTGTGCCTACCTGAAGGGTTTGGGTGGTAGGATACTGTAGTGTTATTGTGCCTACCTGAAGGATTTGGGTGGTAGGATACTATAGTGTTATTGTGCCTACCTGAAGGGTTTGGGTGGTAGGATGCTGAAGCGGGTCTTCTCCAGCATCTTCCTGATCTTGTTCCGTCCTCCAGACACGGTGTTGGCCTTCATTTTCTTGGTGGCCTTGTGGTCTGTGGGGAACTCCATGTCTCCAGGCAGGTCTGGGATGGAGAAGCGGTTACCCTTCTTCTCCTGGATCTTAGGGATGTGGGGACTCATGTTCATCTTCTCGTGTACGATCCGGCTCAGCAGCTCTTTGAACACTTGGGAGAGGAGAGGAGGGAAAGTGGGTGAATGACAAGACTGAGTCACAGAACTAGGGGGGGGGGGGGGGGGGGGGGAGAGCTGTATTGGAATGCAAATTCCTGGTAACTATCCCAACATTTCCAGGACTCATGGTTGGAAGACTTGGGAAAGTTACATGAATTTTGCTACCAAATACAAGACACAGGTACAGACTACTGTTGACATCGGTCATTTTAATTTCAGATGGTCCGGCATCATTAATTAAATAATCCTATCTTTGGTAAGAGGACAGATTGTACTAACCGAAGATGTTGGTCTTGACTGTGAGGGAGAGGTGTGTGTTGTTCCTCAGGAAGTCCATAGCTTTGGTGTAGGAGATGTTCTCAAAGTTCTGACCATTGATCTCCATTATCTCAAGGAGGAAAACAGAGAGTTTCGAGTCAACTGTACTTGTTACTGAACTAACCATAAAGTGCATCTGAACAGCAATCTAAAAAGTATGAAATGTATGGAATAAAAACATGAACTTCAAAATGCAAAAGCAACACAGGAAAAAAATACAATAATAAGCACTTCTCTTACCTGGTCTCCCCGTTTGAGTCCTGCCTCGGCGGCCTTGCTGCCCTCCTCCACTGACTCCACGAAGATGCCGAAGCCCCTTTCGCTGCCGCCATGCAGGCTGAAGTAGAGCGGGGACTCCCTGGAAGGTTTCTGCAGGGTGATCTGCCTCCACTTGGCCTTGGCTGCACACGCTATGTTCAGCAGCCGCAGGTGACCATTCATTTTCTACAGGAACAGATCAGGTTTCAACACCCACTCACTCAACTGACCTGGCTAACAGATCTGGTAATAGATGTTCAACCACAGACAGAGGATCATATGTCTGTCTGACCACAGAGTGATGAGACTTTAGTTTAGTGAAGGTGTGAACTTCAGGTTAACGTACATTATGTTGCACCCAAAATGGCACCCTATTCATTATATAGTGCACTACCTTCAACCAGGGCTCATAGTCCTCTGGTCAAAAGTGTTGCACTATACAGGGAATAGGGTGCTATTAGGGACGCACAATTAGTACAGATACAATATAGGAAAGGTGATCTCACTGTGGTTTCTAGCAGCTTTTCAAAGTCTTCAAGGAACTGCGTCATGGCCGGGTCGCCTTCAAAGTCGTTGAAATGATTGTTCACCCATAACAACACTATCCGTGTCACCTGCACAGGGAAACACAAGGCCGTCAAAGCTTATTCAAAAAGCTTCAAAGAGCATCCTGTACATTTTCCAAAAAATGTCAGCAAGCTTCAATCATCAAACATTCAACTTTAGCTGAGGCTAAAGATATCATAGAGGTGAAGGACCCTTGCAGAACCCTTGCAGTTCTTTGAACCGCAAGGGTCCGGAAATGCAGTGACTGAAAATATAAGTGTAGTATTGTTCTAATCTAAGGAAAGGCCATCTTGGCTCACAATGCTGCAACCACAGCACAGACAGAGCTACAAACAGCAACTCTCTCTCTCTCTGAGGGGATGGGTCCCCCTTTAAGAGGAAGAATGATTACACACCAAATGATATCTCCATAAGACTATTGACAGCACAAGACTAATCTTATGTTAAATCAGTTATGAGAGTATCTCCACTGGACAAATCCCCCTTACACCCAAGACCGCTGACCTAGCAGAAGTTGTATTGATTACTGTGTAGTACACCCATGCTTCACACAAAGAAGCAGACACACACACACACAGTACTGTACACACCGTGTCTCTGAGGCTGTCGACTTTGAACCACTCGAGCAGCTTCTTGCCGACCTCCATGGGGCTGGAGAGGAAGGTGCGGTAGGTGAGGAGGAAGTCTTCGATGTAGGTGGGGTCCACCACTGACGGCTCCTCCACCAGGTGCATGATCAGACGCTCTGGGGTGCCCTGAGTGGATAGACAAACAGAAATCAATCACGACTGCATTCCAACTGTCAATTAATTTTAATACAACTTTATTAGTCCCCCAAGGGGCAATTAAGACAGCCTTATCACCAAGGAGCCCGAATCATTTTGGACAACTATTTAGAAAAATGACAAAATAAAAAATGTAACTGAGTGAAAGGATGGCACTTATTCAAAGCAAACCTTGTTGTGTGAGGTTGCAGGTCACCTGACAAAAATATATCGCTATGGGAAGCGAGTGTGATTTTAGAGGAAGAGAAACTAAAGCAGGCAGTTATCAAACAATTTAAAGACAAGAGAATCCAAAAGTGAGGATCAGTACTCAGACCAGCAGCAACCCATTTATACTGTAGCTGTTAGGGGGAGCAGAGGCATCTTAGGAGATGAAGACAAGGGAATCAGTCTAGGCCATTAGCAGATCAATAGCTGGCTGTTTACAGATCAATGGGTTGGACCATAGCAAGCAAGCACGCATGCAAAAAAAAAAAAAAGTGTCTACAGGAGCAATAGTATAACACGGTGGTAGTCTTAGCCAGGTAGTCAAGGCAGTGCACACATACAAACCATTTAGACCGGTTTCCCAGACAGATTACACCCTAAGCCTAGACCTGGACAATGGAACTTCACCATCAGTGCAGGACAAGGGTAGGCCTAATCTGTGTCTGGGAAACAGTCCCATTAACTCCTACACTTCCTGCCTCACCTTGATGACGATGTGTCCCTTCCTGGTGCCGCTGCGGTCCAGCTCGCGATGCTCCTTCACCATGACGATCTCTCCCTCCTCCTCCACCTTGTGAGTGTTTTTCTCCACATGGTTGAGAATCCGCCAGTAGTCCTCTTGGGCGATGCACACAAACTGCTCAACAATGACATGGGGACAGCGGGTGAACTTATAATACAGGAGCCTGTTGCTCTGCACCAGAGCTGGGTACTCAAACAGTAGAATGGAGCAGTCCATGGAGCAGGAGAAAGGCATGGCTGGGGGCTTGCACTAATGGTCCACCCACACTCCCCTAGCTACTAGTCCAGTTATGCTAGTGTACAAGCTAACAGACTAGCTATACTCCCTTGGCAACTGGCCCAGCTATGATAATAAACACTAGCCACAGTATGCTATCTTGGCTAACAGACCTGCTACACTCCCCTAGTTCACATCACCTGGCTGAATGGTCAAGCTACACTCCCCTGGCTAGCGTTCACCTCTCTGCTGTCTCACTGAGCTGTTGTTCAGGCTCTGAAACAGGGACAGGAAACAGTGTTTCTGATAAAGGAGCTCTTTAAGGAACCAATCAGGTCTGGGTAGAAACTGGTTACTAACAGAAAGAGCGAGAGCGAGAGAGCTCAAAACCACTTATGGAGCAGCAGGCTACTCCTACTACTGCTGCCTCCTATATCTACATCAAGACCAGGTTCCATATGACTAAGCAACAGCTCTTCAACCTAGTCCTGCTTTACTGGTGAAAATCAACACCATAGATACCAACACAAGACCATTTACACAACTACTCCCTATATTTGCAAGGAATACAAGAACATTGTCATATTCATCTTCCAACCCGATGTCAAAAGGGAATGAAAAGTTCCAATTGTATTTCTCTCAGAGGCTGCTCCTTGCTCAGTATAATTATAGTTATAATAGCAGTCTGACAAGAGGTTGAGTGGGCCGTTCCGACTCGAGTGGCCATTCACAGTGAAATTAGTAGGTATGCATCCCAAATGGTACACTACTCCTGATATAGCGCACTATTTTTGACCAGGGCCCAAAGTACACTGTATAGGGAATAGGGTGTCATTTGGGAGTCGGCCCAAAAGCACTGATCTCAATGAGAGGATAGTATCTCACCTGGCAGTCATCCCCCTTGGTGCGCACCACTCCGCTCATGTACTGCTTGTCCAGGGAGGGGGAGATACCGAAGCTGTTGCCCATGCAGAGGGTCTCCATGCGGCTGTCTGGGTGGCCGATCTCCACCCCCCCGTTTAGGATCACATACCACAGGTCCAGCTGGGGAGGTTGCACAATGATGACATAAGCAGCAACGCCAAACACATCACAACAACAGCGAATGAATGGCTGACACTGACTGACTGGCTGGCCTTCATAATAGAGATGCTTTTATGGACCTTCACTCAAAATAATCATTGATGCCTGGTATTATAACGTGTCTCTGTATGTGGTATACGGAGCTTGAGTGAATAGAAGAAGTCCTCCAGTTCTGTAAATCATTGACTGTTGCTGCTCTGCAGCAAGTTTCCTGCCTAGCTTTGAACAGAGTTAACTTGGGCAGTTGGCTACATACAGCCCATTCATTGGGAGATGAAGGCCGTGGCTACAGGATGAGATATGGTGTTTTTCCTGAGCACGTTATCCAGACCAGGAAAAACTCAAATCAAATCTTTATTCGCCGATTACAACAGGTGTAGACTTTACTGTGAAACGCTGACTTACGAACCCTTTCCCAACAACGCAGTTCAAAAGTAAAAAATAAAAAAGGAAATAGTAGCACAATAAAATAACGATAATGAGACTATATAAAAGGAGTACCGGTACTCAGTCAATGTGCAGGGGACAAGGTAGTGAAGGTAATATGTACATGTACACTTCCAGTCAAAAGTTTGGACACCTACTCATTCAAGGGTTTTTCTTTATTTTTATATTTTTTTTACATTGTAGAATAATAGTGAAGACATCACAACTACGAAATAACACATATGGAATCATGTAGTAACCAAAAAAGTGTTAAACAAATCAAAATATATTTTATATTTGAGATTCTTCAAAAAGCCACCCTTTGCCTTGATGACAGCTTTGCACACTCTTGGCATTCTCTCAACCAGCTTCATGAGGTAGTCCACTGGAATGCATTTCAATTAACAGTTGTGCCTTCTTAAAAGTTAATTTGTGGAATTTCTTTCCTTCTTAATGCGTTTGAGCCAAATCAGTTGTGTTGTGACAAGGTGTGGGGGGGTAAACAGAAGATAGCCCTATTTGGTAAAATACCAAGTCCATATTATGGCAAGAAAAGCTAAAATAAGCAAAGTGAAACGACAGTTCATCATGACTTTAAGACATGAAGGTCAGTCAATACCGAAAATGTCAAGAACTTTGAACGTTTCTTCAAGTGCAGTCGCAAAAACCATAATGCGCTATGATGAAACTGGCTCTCATGAGGACCGTCACAGGAATGGAAGACCCAGAGTTACCTCTGCTGCAGAGGATAAGTTATTTTGAGGTACCAGCCTGAGAAATTGCAGCCCAAATAAATGCTTCACTGAGTTCAAGTAACAGACACATCTCAACATCAACTGTTCAGAGGGGACTGTGTGAATCAGGCCTTCATGGTTGAATTGATGCAAAGAAACTACTAAAGGACACCAATTAGAAGATGAGACTTGCTTGGGCCAAGAAACACGAGCAATGGACATTAGACCGGTGGAAATGTGTCCTTTGGTCTGGAGTCTAAATTTGAGATTTTTGGTTCAAACCGCCGTTTCTTTGTGAGACACGATGTGGGTGAACGGATGATCTCCGCATGTGTATTTCCCACCGTAAAGCATGGAGGTGGTGTTATGGTGTGGGGGTGCTTTGCTGGTGACACTGTCTGTGATTTATTTAGAATTTAAGGCACACTTAACCAGCATGGCTACCACAGCATTCTGCAGCGATACGACATCCCATCTGGTTTGGGCTTAGTGGGACTATCATTTATTTTTCAACAGGATAATGACCCAACACACCTCCAGGCTGTGTAAGGGCTATTTGACCAAGAAGGAGAGTGATGGGGTGCTGCATCAGATGACCTGGCCTCCACAATCCCCCGACCTCAACCAAATTGAGATGGTTTGGGATGAGTCGGACCGTAGAGTGAAGGAAAAGCAGCCAACAAGTGCTCAGCATATGTAGGAACTCTTTCAAAACTGTTGGAAAATCATTCCAGGTGAAGCTGGTTGAGAGAATGCCAAGAGTGTGCAAAGCTGTCATCAAGGCAAAGGGTGGCTATTTGAAGAATCTTTTTTGGTTACTACATGATTCCATATGTGTTATTTTATAGTTTTGATGTCTTCACTATTATTATACAAAATAGTAAAAACAAAGAAAAACACTTGAATGAGTAGGTGTGTCCAAACTTTTGACTGGTACTGTATGTTGGGGTAAAATGTACTAGGCAATCAGGATAGATAATAAACAGAGTAGCAGCAGCGTATGTGAAGAGTGTGAAAGAGTGTGAAAGTGTGCCTATGGGTGAGTGTGTGAGTTGCGTCAATATGCATCTCTGTGTGTTTTATGTGTGTGAGCGTATGTAGTGTGTTGGAGTGTCAGTGTAGTATGTGTGAGTGTGTGGGTTGAGTTCAGTGATTGTGTATAGAGCGGGTGCAAGAGAGTCAGTGCAAATAAAAAAGGGGGTCAATGCAAGTAGTCAGGGTAGCCATTTGATTAACTGTTCAGTAATCTTATGGCTTGGGGGAAGAAGCTTCTCAGGAGCCTTTTGGTCCCAGACTTGGCGATCTGGTACTGCTTGCCGTGCGGTAGCAGAGAGAACAGTCTATGACTCAGTCTGAGTCACTAGGCTATATAAACACACACTACCACACAAAACCCACACACATTCACTACATACGCGCACACACACATACTTTTACACTCATCATTTGCTGCTGCTACTCTGTTGTTTATTTGACTCTCCTGATGCCTAGTCACTGTACCCTGCCTTTATGTACTGGACATACAGTTGAAGTCGAAAGTTTACATATACCTTAGCCAAATACATTTAAACTCAGTTTTTTACAATTCCTGACATTTAATCCTAGTAAAAATTCCCTGTTTTAGGTCAGTTAGGATCACCACTTTATTTTAAGAATGTGAAATGTCAGAATAATAGTAGAGAGAATTATTTATTTCAGCTTTTATTTATTTCATCACATTCCCAGTGGGTCAGAAGTTTACATACACTCAATTAGTATTTGGTAGCATTGCCTTTAAATTGTTTAACTTGGATCAAACGTTTCGGGTAGCCTTCCACAAGCTTCCCACAATAAGTTGGGTGAATTTTGGCCCATTCCTCCTGACAGAGCTGGTGTAACTGAGTCAGGTTTGTAGGCCTCCTTGCTCGCACACGCCTTTTCAGTTCTGCCCACACATTTTCTATAGGATTGAGGTCAGGGCTTTGTGATGGCCACTTCAATACCTTGGCTGTTGTCAATATATCCACATAATTTTCCTTCCACATGATGCCATCTATTTTGTGAAGTGCCCCAGTCCCTCCTGCAGCAAAGCACCCCCACAGCATGATGCTGCCAACCCCGTGCTTCACGGTTGGTATGGTGTTCTTCGGCTTGCAAGCCATCCCCTTTTTCCTCCAAACATAACGATGGTCATTATGGCCAAACAGTTCTATTTTTGTTTCATCAGACCAGAGGACATTTCTCCAAAAAGTACGATCTTTGTCCCCATGTGCAGTTGCAAACCGTAGTGTGGCTTTTTTATGGCGGTTTTGGAGCAGTGTCTTCTTCCTTGCTGAGCGGCCTTTTAGGTTATGTCGATATAGGACTCGTTTTACTGTGGATATAGATAGTTTTGTACCTGTTTCCTCCAGCATCTTCACAAGGTCCTTTGCTGTTATTCTGGGATTGATATGCACTTTTCGCACCAAAGTACGTTCATCTCTAGGACACAGAACGCATCTCCTTCCTGAGCGGTATGACGGCTGCGTGGTCCTATGGTGTTTATACTTGCATACTATTGTTTGTACAGATGAACATGGTACCTTCAGGCGCTTGGAAATTGCTCCCAAGGATGAACCAGACTTGTGGAGGTCTACAATTTTCTTTCTCAGGTCTTGGCTGATTTATTTTGATTTTCCCATGATGTCAAGCAAAGAGGCACTGAGTTTGAAGGTAGGCCTTGAAATACATCCACAGGAACACCTCCAATTGACTCAAATGATGTCATTTAGCCTATCAGAAGCTTCTAAAGATTCATTTTCTGGAATTTTCCAAGCTGTTTAAAGTTATAGTCAACTTAGTGTATGTAAACTTCTGACCCACTGGAATTGTGATACAGTGAATTATATGTGAAATAATCTGTCTGTAAACAAAATTACTTGTCTCATGCACAAAGTAGATCAAATCAAATCAAATTGTATTGGCCACATGCGCCGAATACAACAGGTGCAGACATTACAGTGAAATACTTACTTACAGCCCTTAACCATTTATTTTTAATAAAAAAGTAGAATAAAACAACAAAAAAGTGTTGAGAAAAAAAGAGCAGAAGTAAAATAAAATAACAGTAGGGAGGCTATATATATACAGGGGGGTACCGGTGCAGAGTCAATGTGCGGGGGCACCGGCTAGTTGAGGTAGTTGAAGTAATATGTACATGTGGGTAGAGTTAAAGTGACTATGCATAAATAATTAACAGAGTAGCAGCTGCGTAAAAAGATGGGGTGGGGGGGCAGTGCAAATAGTCCGGGTAGCCATGATTAGCTGTTCAGGAGTCTTATGGCTCGGGGGTAGATGCTGTTGAGAAGTCTTTTGGACCTAGACTTGGCACTCCGGTACCGCTTGCCGTGAGGTAGCAGAGAGAACAGTCTATGACTAGGGTGGCTGGAGTCTTTGACAATTTTGAGGGCCTTCCTCTGACACCGCCTGGTATAGAGGTCCTGGATGGCAGGAAGCTTGGCCCCAGTGATGTACTGGGCCGTACGCACTACCCTCTGTAGTGCCTTGCGGTCGGAGGCCAAGCAGTTGCCATACCAGGCGGTGATGCAACCAGTCAGGATGCTCTCGATGGTGCAGCTGTATAATCTTTTGAGGATCTGAGGACCCATGCCAAATCTTTTCAGTCTCCTGAGGGGGAATAGGCTTTGTTGTGCCCTCTTCACGACTGTCTTGGTGTGTTTGGACCATGACAGTTTGTTGGTGATGTGGACACCAAGGAACTTGAAGCTCTCAACCCGTTCCACTACAGCCCCGTCGATGAGAATGGGGGCGTGCTCAGTCTTCTTTTTTTTCCTGTAGTCCACAATCATCTCCTTTGTCTTGGTCACGTTGAGGGAGAGGTTGTTATCCTGGCACCACACGGCCAGGTCTCTGACCTCCTCCCTATAGGCTGTCTCATCGTTGTCGGTGATCAGGCCTACCACTGTTGTGTCGTCGGCAAACTTAATAATGGTGTTGGAGTCGTGCCTGGCCATGCAGTCATGGGTGAACAGGGAGTACAGGAGGGGTCTGAGCATGCACCCCTGAGGGGCCCCCGTGTTGAGGATCAGTGTGGCAGATGTGTTGTTACCTACCCTTACCACCTGGGGGCGGCCCGTCAGGAAGTCCAGGATCCAGTTGCAGAGGGAGGTGTTTAGTCCCAGGATCCTTAGCTTAGTGATGAGCTTTGAGGGCACTATGGTGTTGAATGCTGAGCTGTAGTCAATGAATAGCATTCTCACGTAGGTGTTCCTCTTGTCCAGGTGGGAAAGGGCAGTGTGGAGTGCAATAGAGATTGCATCATCTGTGGATCTGTTGGGGCGGTATGCAAATTGGAGTGGGTCTAGGGTTTCTGGGATAATGGTGTTGATGTGAGCCATGACCAGCCTTTCAAAGCACTTCATGGCTACATACGTCAGTGCTACGGGTCGGTAGTCATTTAGGCAGGTTATCTTAGAGTCCTTGGGCACGGGGACTATGGTGGTCTGCTTGAAACATGTTGGTATTACAGACTCAGTCAGGGACATGTTGAAAATGTCAGTGAAGACACTTGCCAGTTGGTCAGCACATGCTCGGAGTACACGTCCTGTTAATCCGTCTGGCCCTGCGGCCTTGTGAATGTTGACCTGCTTAAAAGTCTTACTCACATCGGCTATGGAGAGCGTGATCACATAGTCATCCGGAACAGCTGGTGCTCTCATGCATGCTTCAGTGTTGCTTGCCTCGAAGCGAGCATAGAAGTGGTTTAGCTGGTCTGGAAGTCTTGTGTCACTGGGCAGCTCGCGGCTGTGCTTCCCTTTGTAGTCTGTAATAGTTTTCAAGCCCTGCCACATCCGACGAGCGTCAGCGCCGGTGTAGTACGATTCAATCTTAGTCCTGTATTGACTCTTTGATGTCCTAACCGACTTGCCAAAACTATAGTTTGTTAATGTAACAGTGTTGCTTCCGTCCCTTTCCTCGCCTCTACCTGGGCTTGAACCAGGGACCCACTGCACACATCGACAACAGTCACCCTCGAAGCACCGTTACCTGTCACTCCACAAAAGCCGCTGCCCTTGCAGAGCAAGGGAAACAACTATTTCAAGGTCTCAGAGCGAGTGACGTCACCGATTGAAATGCTACTAGCGCGCACCGCTAACTAGCTAGCCATTTCACACCGGTTACACTCACCCCCCTTTTGACCTCCTCCTTTTCCGCAGCAACCAGTGATCCGGGTCAACAGCATCAATGTAACAGTGACAGTGAGGATCTGAGGACCCATGCCAAATCTTTTCAGTCTCCTGAGGGGGAAGAGGCGTTGTCGTGCCCTCTTCACGACTGTGTTGGTGTGTTTGGACCATGATAGTTCCTTAGTGATGTGGACACAGAAGAACTTGAAGCTCTTGACACGCTACACTACAGCCCTGTCGATGTGAATGGGGGCGTGCTCAGCCCTCCGTTTCCTGTAGTCCACGATCAGCTCCTTTGTCTTTCTGACATTTAAGGAGAGGTTGTTGTCCTGGCACCACACTGGCAGGTCTCTGACCTTCTCCCTATAGGCGGTCTCATTGTCGTCGGTGATCAGGCCTACCACCGTCGTGTCGAAGAAAACTTCATGATAGTGTTGTAGTCGTGCGCGGCCACACAGTCGTGGTTGAACTAGGAGTACAGGAAGGGACTAAGCATGCACCCCTTAGGGGCCCCCGTGTTGAGGGTCAGCATGGCAGATGTGTTGTTGCCTACCCTCACCACCTGAGGGCGGCCTGTCAGGAAGTCCAGGATCCAGTTGCAGAGGGAGGTGGTCAGTCTCAGGGGCCTTACCTTAGTGATGAGCTTTGAGGGCACTATGGTGTTAAATGCTGAGCTGTAGTCAATGAACAGCATTCTCACGAAGGTGTTCCTTTTGTCCAAGTGGGAAAGGGCAGTGTTGAGTGCAATAACGATTGCGTCATCTGTGGATCTGTTGGGGCAGTATGCAAATTGGAGTAGGTCCAGGGTGTCTGGGATGATGGTTTTGATGTGAGCTATGACCAGCCTTTCAAAGCATTTCATGGCTACAGATGTGAGTGCTTTGGGGCAATAGTCATTTAGACAGGTTACCTTGGTGTTCTTGGGCACATGTAGGTATTACAGACTGGGTCAGGGAGAGGTTGAAAATGTCAGTGAAGAAACTTGCTAGTTGGTCAGCGCATGCTCAAGTACGCATCCTGGTAATCTGTCTGAAGGTTAATCTGTTTAAAGGTCTTACTTACATTGGCTACGGAGAGAATGATCACACAGTCGTCTGGAACAACTGGTGCTCTCATGCATGGTTCAGTGTTGCTAGCCTCGAAGCTCTCATTGAAGACATTTAGCTCATCCGGTAGGCTCTCATTACTGGGCAGGTCGAGGCTGGGTTTCCCTTTGTAATCCGTGGTAGTTTGCAAGCCCTGCCACATCCGACGAGCATCAGAGCCGGTATAGTAGGATTCGATGTTTGTCCTGTATTGACACTTTGCCTGTTTGATGGTTCGTCGGAGGGCGTAGTGGGATTTCTGATAAGCGTCCGGATTAGTGTCCAGCTCCTGGAAAGTGGCAGCTCCAGCCTTTAGCTCAGTGCGGATGTTGCCTGTAATCCATGGCTTCTGGTTGGGATATGTACATACAATGCCTTGCAAAAGTATTCATCCCCCTTGGCGTTTTTCCTATTTTGTTGCATTACAACCTGTAATTTAAATGGATTTTTTATTTGGATTTCATGCAATGGACATACACAAAATAGTCCAAATTGGTGCGGTGAAATGAAAAAAAGAAAAACATTTTAAAAAATTGTACAAATAAATAACGGAAAAGTGGTGCGTGCATATGTATTCACCCCCTTTGCTATGAAGCCCCTAAATAAGATCTGGTGCAACCCAAACGTTTTCCTGGTAACGTCACAGTCAGCCCTAGTGATGTGGAATGGTTGTTTGTCCGTCCGTCCGCCTGTCTGTCTGTACCATAGAAACAGAATGTGTGTGTAGGTATGTTCTAAGTCTAGGGTTCGTACCTCCTGTTTGTCCTGTAGGATGACGGTTCCCCCCTGCTCGACCACCTCAAACACCATGACAGTACACAGGTCCCTACGCACTGACATGGTCATGTTAGCAAAGGCTGGCAGCTGGTGCATGAACTCCAACAGTTGTTCTGGATGGGGGGGAAAGAGAGAGAGGGGAAGGAGTGAAGGAGAGAGGTGCGGTGTAACAGAGATTGAAGGAAGAAAAAGGAGGAAAAAGGAGAGAGTGAGAGAACAGCTGTGGTCTGATCAGCTGTGGTCTGATCAGCTGTGGTCTGATCAGCTGTGTAACTGATGAGTGTATACTGTAGCACCTGCGTCCTACTCTCTCACCCTGAGGGGGCATTACACCCTGTTATCATGTAGCCTCCAGTCCAGCAGTCACCAACCTTTTCTGAGTCAAGATCACCGAGTCAAAATGCAAGACGAGATCTACCGCACAGATTTTTTTAAATATTACTTATAAAAACGCAAACCTATGCAACATTAACTTATTAAAAACATTACTGTCACAATGAGGTTTGTGCAGTAGGCTATAGGCTCAATACATGATCACCAAATATTGGCTTTGCTTGAATTGAGCTGTTTTTCTGACCCCCCCCCCCCAAAAAAAAAATTGTACAAATTTGAGGTAGGCTATATGATCGCACCGGTAATAGATCAGTTGTTGTATTACTTGTGAGGCACAGCTGAGTCAGCATACATTTAAATAATGAGCTTTTTATTTTTATTTCACTGGACTGATGGTGCCTGCATCTGATGGAGGGAGAGAGCAGCAGCCTGAGGGTCCGCCTCGCAACGTCCCTCCGCTCTCCCTTTCCTCCGCTGACACTGACCAAAAAGGGCCACAGTCTTCCAGCTGATGGCGAAAACTCAAGTCGCACCTCATTATTTCTGCCTCATGTAGCTGAACCTACCGCCAACAGCGCGAGACAAATAAAAAATTATTAGGAAGGCAAGCCTTTATCGTTGGGTTTTTTACAGAAATGTTTGGCGATCGACTACAAATGCCTTGGAGAATGGAAAAGGGGTACCTTATCAGTTGTATAACTGAATGCATTTAACTGAAATGTGTCTTCCACATTTAACCCAACCCCTCTTAAATCGACATCCACGTCATTGGCGCCTGGGGAATCGACCAGTCGATCGTGACCACTTCTCTAGTCACACCTCTCCAGTGCCATAGAACACGGTGACCTGACTCCAGCCTGCAGTAGTGGAGCCACACTAACCACACTCCCTGCCCATCCCTTCATATCTCAGTGGGTCTGCAGCCTAACAAGCCAACAGCAAAGAAGCCTTTCAACCCAGGCGTCCCACAGCCCCCCAGCAGGCAGGTCTCTCTCTGGGTCCTCTGATGTGTGGGCAGGCAGCTTCCCCTTCCCCTCAGGAGGACCCCTGGCTTGCATCTCTAATGAGGTGGCCTGGCTGATTGCCCAGCAAAAATAAAAAGGGGACTAACAGGGAAGATCTCAGTGTTTATAGAAACGGAGGGAAGGTGTTGGGGGGAAGAGAGAGAGAAAGACAGAGGGTAAAGGGGGTATTCAAGAAAGAGGAGAAGCGCGTAACAGCTCACCGATGTCATCATCGTTGCGGTCCACCGGGTCTTTCTCCAGACACTCCCTCACCAGGTCTCTACCCAGCAGGGTGTCTGACGTCCTCTCCAGGTCTTCATCCTCCTCCTCCTCTTCCTCAGAGTCCACCGCTGCCTCCGGTAGCCCCGATAGGTCCACGTCACCCATCTCACTCTCTGTAGCCTGCAGAGGTGACAGATATATTGGTTTTTCTACACATAACCCACTAAGCATTATGCATACACCACTAATTATTCATACTGCCCATATTTTCCATGCTGTTTGGACAGATGGTTGGAATGAACTGGTGCCGAGGGCTACGGAGGGATCAGATCAACTGGGATTTGAACCCACTACCCTGAGGTTAAGAGACCAGCTCTCCAGTCTCTATAGCAATATTGAAGGCCATCTGTCTATTCGCTCCACTAGTACACAGTAACAGAGACTGAACCTGCCTGACTGCTCTGTTCAACTCCACAGTGCTTTCAGGAATGGAAGTGGACAGGATCAAATGGGATGTTTCCTTGACGGAATAAGCGATTGATTGTAATAAGGAATGTTTCCATCCAGAGGAAATGTTACCCGAGAAAGTCTGTCTGAACAGAAACAGCGTAAAACCCTGAGAAAGTCTGTCTGACCAGAAACAGCATAAAACCCTGAGAATGTCTGAACAGAAACAGCATAAAACCCTGAGAAAGTCTGTCTGAACAGAAACGGCGTGAAACCCTGAGAAAGTCTGTCAGAACAGAGACTGAAACCCTGAGAAAGTCTGTCTGTACAGAGACAGTGTGAAACCCTGAGAGGATCAGTGTCTTTCTCGCCTCGTCTCTGGATCCCTTGTGCTTTTGCCTGGGCGTTAGACGGAGGGCAGCTCTGTTCTTTCAGCATGCGGAGGAGGGAGGGAGAGAGAGAGGGTGAAAAGGGAAAATGTACTTGCTACGACTGTAATATGTGGTTGTCTCACACAGCTATCTTAAAATTAATGCACTAATTGTAAGTCACTTTGAATAAGCACGCCTGCTAAATGACTAAAATGTAAATGAGAGAGAGAGAACCATTACTGCTGATATCGCCATGTTAGTTTTCTGCTGAGAGAGAGAGAGAGACAGAGCGACACAGAAAGAGAGAGACATTTTGTGCCCACAGGTCTCAGATCAGGTCCAGATCTAAACTGACAGGGACATCAGTTCCTGCTGGCTGCACAGGGGACTGAGCCAGAGACATCCCATCAAATGACAGACAGAGAAGAGGAGAGGAGAGGAGAGGAGAGGAGAGGAGAGGAGAGGAGAGGAGAGGAGAGGAGAGGAGAGGAGAGGAGAGGAGAGGAGAGGAGAGGAGAGGAGAGGAGAGGAGGTATGGCAGCTCACCGCTCAGGGCTCGACGAGAGGTCAAGCTATAAAATAAACTCACCAACTGCCAGAAATAGAAGCTGCTGGACTCAAGTCAACGTAAACGTCTGGACACAGCTGACTGAGCTCTTCTGAATCAATGACAGGTGACTCCATGAGGAGGAGAGAACAGGGAGATATAGCCTGGTTGGTGGGAGAGGTCAAGGAACTCCTTGAGTATGACAGGTTCAAAAGTGAGAGAGAAGGTATGCGTAATGGTGGGGTAGAGGTTGGGCTGGGTTAAAGGTATGGGTTGGGGTGGACTGGAGTTAGAGAAGGTAAGAGTGGGAGTGGGGTTAGAGATATATAGAGGTATATGCAAATGATGCGGTAGGGGAGGAGGGGGGGGGGGGGGGTTCTGAGGGCAGGGAGCGGGGTCCTGGGAGCCAGACAGGTCTGTCTGTTTCCTATGTACCCTGCCCTTTAACACACAACACTACACGAGGGAGAGAGGGGCCCTTAGAACAACACACACTATAATTAGCAACCCTGGATGGATAGATGGATGGATGGAGAGGACATGTTCCATTGAACTGGAGAAGCAGGGGGAGAGACGTGAAGAGAGGGATGAGGATGGGCAACAAGAGGGCTAGGGAGAGAGAGCTAGGGGAGGGCTGGGGAGCGAGAGCTAGGGGAGGGGTGGGGAGAGAGAGCTAGGGGAGGGGTGGGGAGAGAGCGCTAGGGGAGGGGTGGGGAGAGAGAGCTAGGGGAGGGCTGGGGAGAGAGAGCTAGGGGAGGGCTGAGGAGAGAGCTAGGGGAAGGCTGGGGAGAGAGAGCTAGGGGAAGGCTGGGGAGAGAGAGCTTGGGGAAGGCTGGGGAGAGAGAGCTAGGGGAGGGCTGGGGAGAGAGAGCTAGGGGAGGGCTGGGGAGAGAGAGCTAGGGGAGGGCTGGGGAGAGAGAGCTAGGGGAGGGCTGGGGAGAGAGAGCTAGGGGATGGCTAGGGAGAGAGAGCTAGGGGATGGCTGGGGAGAGAGAGCTAGGGAAGGGCTGGGGAGAGAGAGCTAGGGAAGGGAGAGAGCTAGGGGAGGGCTGGGGAGAGAGAGCTAGGGGAGGGCTGGGGAGAGAGAGCTAGGGGATGGCTAGGGAGAGAGAGCTAGGGGATGGCTGGGGAGAGAGAGCTAGGGAAGGGCTGGGGAGAGAGAGCTAGGGAAGGGCTGGGGAGAGAGAGCGCAGTGGTCTAAGGCACTGCATCGCAATGCTAGCTGTGCCACTAGAGATCCTGGTTCGAATCCAGGCTCTGTCGCAGCCGGCCGCGACCGGGAGACCCATGGGGCGGCGCGCAATTGGCCCAGCGTCGTCCAGGGTAGGGGAGGGAATGGCCGGCAGGGATGTAGCTCAGTTGATAGAGCATGGCGTTTGCAACGCCAGGGTTGTGGGTTCGATTCCCACAGGGGGTATAAATAATAATAATGTGACTAAACTGTAAGTCGCTCTGGATTTAGCGTCTGCTAAATGACTTAAATGTAAATGTAAATGCAAGCAGATACAGAACATTCACCAGGAAAGCAATGAAGCATAGACTGACTTCAAAGTCATACAGTATTGAGAGAACAAAAGGCTAGGCGCATTACTGAAACAGAACAATGGAACTTCAAAGCTTATGAAAGGTGAGGTTATCGGTATACTCGGTCAGCTCAGTTTGTGAAAGGTGAAATAAGTGTATAGGCTACCTGGTAGATGTCTGATAGGCTACTGCTCCCCGAGTCGCTGGTGATGCTGCATCCTGATTGGCTGGGCGGCACGTGCATCCCCTGGCTGTGGGGGTGGTCTGTTAGGTGCATCTTGTTTAGGTCTCCAGGAAGCTGCTCAGACACACACACAGGAAGAGAGGAGGCCGGCTGTTAATATCGCACGGCACGCAGGTGAACACACACTACAGACAGACAGAGACACACAAGCGATCATCAACTAGATTCAGCAGAGGGATAATTTTTTCTTGAGCGGATGGTCGGGGGGCCGGAACATAATTACAAATAATTTGTAGACTGCAAATTGACTGCAAGAAGCCCAAACAAATATGTTTGACTAAAACAATAATTTCAAACCTTGCTCACATTTGTATACGATCACTTGTCTCTCTATTATGTGTGGGAATACTTGGGTACAGATTTCTTCAATTAAAATCACTTGGAGCTGATTTCCTGGTCTTTTTCACAGTCTTATGTCCAACAATGGAAATTCCACACACAAAAAAAATATAAAAAAAATATTATACACACACACACAGTGGGGAGAACAAGTATTTGATACACTGCCGATTTTGCAGGTTTTCCTACTTACAAAGCATGTAGAGGTCTGTAATTTTTATCATAGGTACACTTCAACTGTGAGAGACGGAATCTAAAACAAAAATCAAGAAAATCACATTGTATGATTTTAAAGTAATTAATTTGCATTTTATTGCATGACATAAGTATTTGATACATCAGAAAAGCAGAACTTAATATTTGGTACAGAAACCTTTGTTTGCAATTACAGAGATCATACGTTTCCTGTAGATCTTGACCAGGTTTGCACACACTGCAGCAGGGATTTTGGCCCACTCCTCCATACAGACCTTCTCCAGATCCTTCTGGTTTCGGGGCTGTCGCTGGGCAATACGGACTTTCAGCTCCCTCCAAAGATGTTCTTGAAATGAGATGTCCTTGAAATGCTTCTTATGGAGCCAATCCTTAGTTGCCCTGGCTGTGTGTTTCGGGTCGTTGTCATGCTGGAAGACCCAGCCACGACCCATCTTCAATGCTCTTACTGAGGGAAGGAGGTTGTTGGCCAAGATCTCGCGATGCATGGCCCCATCCATCCTCCCCTCAATACGGTGCAGTCGTCCTGTCCCCTTTGCAGAAAAGCATCCCCAAAGAATGATGTTTCCACCTCCATGCTTCACGGTTGGGATGGTGTTCTTGGGGTTGTACTCATCCTTCTTCTTCCTCCAAACACGGCGAGTGGAGTTTAGACCAAAAAGCTCAATTTTTGTCTCATCAGACCACATGACCTTCTCCCATTCCTCCTCTGGATCATCCAGATGGTCATTGGCAAACTTCAGACGGGACATGCGCTGGCTTGAGCAGGGGGACCTTGCGTGCGCTGCAGGATTTTAATCCTTGACGGCGTAGTGTGTTACTAATGGTTTTCTTTGAGACTGTGGTCCCAGCTCTCTTCAGATCATTGACCAGGTCCTGCCGTGTAGTTCTGGGCTGATCCCTCACCTTCCTCATGATCATTGATGCCCCACAAGGTGTGATCTTGCATGGAGCCCCAGACCGAGGGTGATTGACCGTCATCTTGAACTTCTTCCATTTTCTAATAATTGCGCCAACAGTTGTTGCCTTCTCACCAAGCTGCTTGCCTATTGTCCTGTAGCCCATCCCAGCCTTGTGCAGGTCTACAATTTTATCCCTGATGTCCTTACACAGCTCTCTGGTCTTGGCCATTGTGGAGAGGTTGGAGACTGTTTGATTGAGTGTGTGGACAGGTGTCTTTTATACAGGTAACGAGTTCAAACAGGTGCAGTTAATACAGGTAATGAGTGGAGAACAGGAGGGCTTCTTAAAGAAAAACTAACAGGTCTGTGAGAGCCGGAATTCTTACTGTTTGGTAGGTGATCAAATACTTATGTCATGCAATAAAATGCAAATTAATTACTTAAAAATCATACAATGTGATTTTCTGGATTTTTGTTTTAGATTCCGTCTCTCACAGTTGAAGTGTACCCATGACCTCTACATGCTTTGTAAGTAGGAAAACCTGCAAAATCAGCAGTGTATCAAATACTTGTTCTCCCCACTGTATATACACATACATACACACACACACACACACACACATATATACAGCTGAAGTCGGAAGTTTACATACGCCTTAGACAAATACATTTAAACTCAGTTTTTCACAATTCCTGACATTTAATCCAAGTAAAAATTCCCTGTTTTAGGTTATTTAGGATCACCACTTTATTTAAAGAATGTGAATTGTAAGAATAATAGTAGAGAGAATGATTTATTTCAGCTTTTATTTCTTTCATCACATTCCCAGTGGGTCAGAAGTTTACATACACTCAATTAGTATTTGGTAGCATTACCTTTAAATTGTTTAACTTGGGTCAAACGTTTCGGGTAGCCTTCCACAATTAGTTGGGTGAATTTTGGCCCATTCCTCCTGACAGAGCTGGTGTAACTGAGTCAGGTTTGTAGGCCTCCTTGCTCGCACACGCTTTTTCAGTTCTGCCCACACATTTTCTACAGCATTGAGGTCAGAGCTTTGTGATGGCCACTCCAATACCTTGACTTTGGTGTCCTTAAGCCATTTTGCCACAACTTTGGAAGTATGCTTGGGGTCATTGTCCATTTGGAAGACCCATTTGCGACCAAGCTTTCACTTCCTGACTGATGTCTTGAGATGTTGCTTCAATATATCCACATAATTGTCCTTCCTCATGATGCCATCTATTTTGTGAAGTGCACCAGTCCCTCCTGCAGCAAAGCACCCCCATAGCATGATGCTGCCACCCCCGTGCTTCACAGTTGGGATGGTGTTCTTCGGCTTGCAAGATGCCCCCTTTTTCCTCCAAACATAACGATGGTGATTATGGCCAAACAGTTCTATTTTTGTTTCATCAGACCAGAGGACATTTCTCCAAAAAGTACGATCTTTGTGCAGTTGCAAACCGTAGTCTGGCTTTTTTATGGTGGTTTTGGAGCAGTGGCTTCTTCCTTGCTGAGCGGCCTTTCAGGTTATGTCGATATAGGACTCGTTTTACTGTGGATGTAGATACTTTTGTACCTGTTTCCTCCAGCATCTTCACAAGGTCCTTTGCTGTTGTGCTGGGATTGATTTGCACTTTTCGCACCAAAGTACGTTCATCTCTAGGAGACAGAACGCGTCTCCTTCCTGAGCGGTATGACGGCTTCGTGGTGCCATGGTGTTCACACTTGCGTACTATTGTTTGTACAGATAAACGCGGTACCTTCAGGCGTTTGGAAATTGCTCCCAAGGATGAATCAGACTTGTGGAGGTCTACACATTTTTTTCCTGAGGTCTTGGCTGATTTCTTTTGATTTTCCCATGATGTCAAGCAAAGAGGCATCGAGTTTGAAGGTAGGCCTTGAAATACATCCACAGGTACACCTCCAATTGACTCAAATCATGTAAATTAGCCTATCAGAAGCTTCTAAAGCCATGACATCATTTTCTGGAATTTTACAAGCTGTTTAAAAAGGCACAGTCAACTTAGTGTAAACTTGAGTGTGTGGACAGGTGTCTATTATACAGGTAATGAGTTCAAACAGGTGCAGTTAATACAGGTAATGAGTGGAGAACAGGAGGGCTTCTTAAAGAAAAACGAACAGGTCTGTGAGAGCCGGAATTCTTACTGGTTGGTAGGTGATCAAATACTTATGTCACGCAATAAAATGCAAATTAATTACTTAAAAATCATACAATGTGATTTTCTGGATTTTTGTTTTAGATTCCGTCTCTCACAGTTGAAGTGTACCTATAATAACAATTACAGACCTCTACATGCTTTGTAAGTAGGAAAACCTGCAAAATTGGCAGTGTATCAAATACTTGTTCTCCCCACTGTACGTACACACACACAGAGAACAAAAATATAAAACGCAACATGCAACAATTTAAATGATTTTACTGAGTTACAGTTCATAAGGAAATCAGTCAAATGAAATAAATAAATGAGTCCCTAATCTATGGATTTAACATGACTGGGAATACAGATATACATCTGTTGGTCAGAGATAAAAAATACATTTAAAAAAGTAGAGACGTGGAACAGAAAACCAGTCAGTATCTGGTGTGACCACCATTTGCCTCATGCAGAGCGACACATCTCCTTTGCATAGAGTTGATCAGGCTGTTGATTGTGGCCTGTGGAATGTTGTCCTACTCCTCTTCAATGGCTGTGGGAAGTTGCTGGATATTGGCGGGAACTGGCACATGCTGTCATACACGTCGATCTAGAGCATCCCAAACATGCTCAATGGGTGACATGTCTGGTGTGCAGGCCATGGAAGAACTGGTACATTTTCAGCTTCCAGGAATTGCGTACAGATCCTTGCAAAAATATCATGCTGAAACATGAGGTGATGGCGGATGAATGGCACGACAAAGGGGCCTCAGGATCTCGTCATGGTATCTCTGTGCATTCAAATTGCCATCGGCAAAATGCAATTGTGTTCATTGTCCGTAGCTTATGCCTGCCCATACCATAATCCCACCGCCACCATTGGGCACTCTGTTCACAACGTTGACATCAGCAAACTGTTCGGTCTGCAGTTGTGAGGCCGGTTGGACGTACCGCCAAATTCTCTAAAACGACGTTGGAGGCGGCTTATGGTAGAGGAATTAACATTAAATCCTCTGGCAACAGCTCTGGTGGACATTCATGCAGTCAGCATGCCTATTGTACGCTTGAGACATCTGTGGCATTGTCTTGAGTGACATAACTGCACATTTTACAGTGGCCTTTTATTGTCCCCAGCACAAGGTGCACCTGTGTAATGAACAGGTTTTTGATATGCCACACCTGTCAGGTAGATGGATTATCTTGGCAAAGGACAAAATGCTCACTAACAGGGATGTAAACAAATTTGAGAGAAACAAGCTTTTTGTGCATATGGAACATTTCTGGGATATTTTATTTCAGCTCATGAAACATGGGACCAACACTTTACATGTTGCGTTTATATATTTTTTCAGTGTATATGGGGAACCCTGCTGTACACAGTCGCACACGCTCAGTGTTGTTGCAGCTGCCTGTGTACGGTCAGCTTGGCCCAGGCTTGATATAGTAGGCTACATCATTAAAATTAAGAGGAGACAAAACTTAAGAGGATTATAATTGGGGAGTGTGGAACTGTCCCTCTGTGAAAGGTCACATTTCTTGATGGTTTGAGGAAAAGGGTGTTTTATGGTTGTCGTGTGACCTTCGAGAGACGGAGACAGATGGAGTTGTGACAGTAAATCTGGACCAGTGACTGCATCTTAAATGGCGCCCTCTCCCTATTTAGTGCACTACTTTTGACCAGGGCCCCAAAAATGGTTCACTATATAGGGAGCCATTTGACAATGCATGCACACTGCCTGGCCTCCCAGATTCCTCTTAATTACCTTAACTGTGCCAGTCTGTCTGTCTGTCTCTCTCTGTCTGTCTCGGTCGGTCGGTCTGTCTGTCTGTCTGTCTGTCTGTCTGTCTCGGTCGGTCTGTCTGTCTGTCTGTCTCGGTCGGTCTGTCTGTCTCGGTCGGTCTGTCTGTCTCAGTCTGTCTGTCTCGGTCTGTCTGTCTCGGTCTGTCTGTCACGCACACACACAAACACGCACGCACGGGCGCACACACACACACACACAAAGAGACACTCTCACTCAAGCTTAGCGACTTTGCTTAGAAGCTAAATTAAAGAATGTTCTTCATTAAAACACAGACGAAAATATCTATTTGTCATCAAAACATTGTGGGTAATTCCTTTCATAAATATACTGAAACAATTTGTCCCCTGGCGAAATGAGATGAGGATCAATGAAGATAAGCTGTAATTGAAAGAAAAATTGATCACTTTTGTTGTTCTCTTTCAGGACGCAGATTTGTTTTCAAGCTACTACTAGACACCACTCAATAATGATCACCTCACCTCTGGTAGATGGACTAAACCACCAGTCAACCTGGATAATGTTACAACAGCCCAGTGGTTCATTAATCAACCAAGAAAACCATCCCATCAATGAGAGACTCAAGACACACACAAGGCCAATAAATCTAAAACAGACAAAGAGCAGCCACCAATGCCCTGCTAACAACCAAACCACACACAGTCAATGTGACCAGTTCAGCTTCTATATCCCATCGATCAGGTATTCTACCAACTCCAGTCCAGCGTGCGCAGGTCTTACCAGTCTGCAGCGGGTGAGGGAGCTGGTCTGGTTGCGTGGATAGTGGGTGAACCTGCAGCACACCTCCTCCATGACCTCCTCTGCCAGCCTGGTGGTGCCGGCCAGACAACAATCCACCCACCCAACGCTGGCGCGGGAGCAATCACCGTGGCACCATGCAATATTAAACAAGTTCAGTCTACACTACGCACGGGTGGGGGGCTGCCCCACTACCTTACAACCCCTTAACCCATCCCTCCACAGGGGACAGGGGACAGCCCATCCTCCAACCTCCCCACCATACACAAGAGAAAACATAGGCTGTACTAGGAGACAGGAGAGCCGGTTGCAGCCATGAGAATCACTCTACACAATAACACCTAGGTGGAGCTGCAGAAATTAGACACTGACAATTAGGTTAGACAAATGGCCATTGGCCAGACAGACAGACGACAAATGGGTGTCTCCTAGATGGGCTGGGCTCCCCACCTCAGTCCAATGTAGAGAGCAAGGTTGAGGCTGGAGGGTGAAGGTGTGCTGATAGGGCTGTCAGAGAGTAACTTAACTGTGAATAATGTAACACTACTCCACTATCCCACCACACCGCTCAGTTAAAAATCACAACAGAGATCCCCATAAATCCTCATCTGGACACATCCACTCCTATTCAACTAAAATCAATTTTCCATTACAGTGGGGCTGTGAATGCAATCTTCTTCCACTTACAGCTCAACTGGCACCAACATGTGGGGCACGGCTGGCAGCAGTTGATATTGACAACGGCAACAAAAGGTGGCGGTGCCATAACTAAAATGAAAAGTGTTGCCAGCCAAACAGCGGCTGGTTAGAACGGACTCTCCCTCTCAACGAGCTAAAGGGGTCGTCCATTCAGTTTATTCCACAGCCAGGTGGGTCAATATTGATTCCTTTATGATGGGGTCAAGTTTCAGACAATGATGAATCTCCGGCCTGCATCCATTTAACAAATCTATCAGATTCACAAAGGAGAAAACGAATGTATACATCCATTATCATGGCCTCCAACCCATAACATTTAGGATCTCTATGCTCCAACCACTCTGGTTAAAATTCCCACCGTCAAACAACAACGCCGCCGTTATTAACATGGCAATCAGAAACATTAGTGGTGACACTAGGACGGGTGTTGATGTCACATGGCATGGCAATCAGTCTTTCATCCTGGGGATGAAGTCTGATGACATATGAGAGGCAGAGGGAGGACGGGATTGGCTAATGAGGCCATCGGGGGGATAAACGGGCCAATGAAAGGGGAGACCTCGCTAATTGCTGCAGTCTCACGGCTCTAATTCACACTTCACACCAACGCTTACTTAATGGCACTCCAATGCCCTCCCGCCTACCACTGGCTGTTCTCCTCCTGTTCTGCTCACGAATTAATGATGGCAGTGTGGGGCGATTAAATATGAATGTCTTCTTCCTTCGGCTGTATGAATCTATCACATCAACAAGGGGACGCGAGGCGAGCCAGGACTGATCATTTAACTCTTCTCTCTAAATGTCCAAACAATGACTAGACCTAAATTGGAGTCTCATTAAGTCACAACAGAGCATTTCTAATTTATTCACTTGTATTATAACCTTTTCTTGAAAATATCATATTTTACTTAACTAATTTCATTTCTGTAGACAGGCTACAGTAATTAACTTGTAGTGGGATTTAACCTGCATTCCCCTCGTTCCTGTGAGGCCTGGTCTGCGTTCCAAACGACACCCTATTCCCTTTATAGTGCACTATAAAGAGAATAGGCAGCCATTTGGGACGCAACTATGGTATTAAGCAGTAAGCAGATTTTTAGGTGTGATGCTAGTAATGACCCTGGTTCACAAAGACAGGCCAATGCTCCAGAATAGGCCATTTCCAGAGGCAGCAGCACGCTAAAGCACTGCTACAGGATCCCAGCAGGGGCTCCATCATTAAAACATAGTGGAGCTTCCCAATTATGCCCTAACTGCTTTAGAGCTGAGCTCGCCACAGCAAGGGAGGGCTAGCGTTAGCCTATTTCTAGAGACTGGACGTATGGTATATTCAACATGCATAGATCCAAGCCATAGATCCAAGCCATTTCTACGCCATCTTTCATTGGAGGCAAAACATTGTCTCATGTATGTCAGATGGGGAGCAATCCTCACATCCCAAAGTGAAATAAACCAAAAGGAGTGGTCTTATCATGTTTTCCTTTTATCACAGAGCAGCGCAGTCCTCCAAAACAGAGACACGTGGGCCTGGAGGCTGGAGGTGGGCTGGGCTAGAGGTAGGCTGGGCTGGAAGTGGGCTGGGGTTGGGCTGGGCTAGAGGTAGGCTGGGCTGGAAGTGGGCTAGGGTTGGGCTGGAGGTAAGCTGGGCTGGAGGTGGGCTGGGCTAGAGGTAGGCTGGGCTGGAAGTGGGCTGGGGTTGGGCTGGGCTAGAGGTAGGCTGGGCTGGAAGTGGGCTAGGGTTGGGCTGGAGGTAAGCTGGGCTGGAGGTGGGCTGTGCTGGAGGTGAGCTGGGCTGGGCTGCTCGGGGTTAAGAAGGAAGTACATCTGATAATACTGTAGAGGATATCAGTCACCGGAGCCATCCGTCTAAACTATTCACATGGCCAGATGTTGCTCCTCCCCGCCAGCGTCAAATACGCTCCCAGACAAACATCTGTGACCTGGAGGATTGGACTGTCTCTCCTCCCACATGGCGGCAGGGCGGGCGCTTTAACCGTGGCCAGACTTTGCGCTGCTACGGGAGGGATCCTCTTGATCAGTTGAACAGGAGTGATGAGATGGATACATTTCAGATGTAACGTTTCAGAACAGTTCCAAAACGCACACTGGTTACAACTGATCTCCATTTCCATGTTCTGTGTACAGTGGGGAGAACAAGTATTTGATACACTGCCGATTTTGCAGGTTTTCCTACTTACAAAGCATGTAGAGGTCTGTAATTTTTATCATAGGTACACTTCAACTGTGAGAGACGGAATCTAAAACAAAAATCCAGAAAATCACATTGTATGATTTTTAAGTAATTAATTTGCATTTTATTGCATGACATAAGTATTTGATACATCAGAAAAGCAGAACTTAATATTTGGTACAGAAACCTTTGTTTGCAATTACAGAGATCATACGTTTCCTGTAGGTCTTGACCAGGTTTGCACACACTGCAGCAGGGATTTTGGCCCACTCCTCCATACAGACCTTCTCCAGATCCTTCAGGTTTCGGGGCTGTCGCTGGGCAATACGGACTTTCAGCTCCCTCCAAAGATTTTCTATTGGGTTCAGGTCTGGAGACTGGCTAGGCCACTCCAGGACATTGAGATGCTTCTTACGGAGCCACTCCTTAGTTGCCCTGGCTGTGTGTTTCGGGTTGTCATGCTGGAAGACCCAGCCACGACCCATCTTCAATGCTCTTACTGAGGGAAGGAGGTTGTTGGCCAAGATCTCGCGATACATGGCCCCATCCATCCTCCCCTCAATACGGTGCAGTCGTCCTGTCTCCTTTGCAGAAAAGCATCCCCAAAGAACGATGTTTCCACCTCCATGCTTTACGGTTGGGATGGTGTTCTTGGGGTTGTACTCATCCTTCTTCTTCCTCCAAACAAGGCGAGTGGAGTTTAGACCAAAAAGCTCTATTTTTGTCTCATCAGACCACATGACCTTCTCCCATTCCTCCTCTGGATCATCCAGATGGTCATTGGCAAACTTCAGACGGGCCTGGACATGCGCTAGCTTGAGCAGGGGGACCTTGCGTGCGCTGCAGGATTTTAATCCATGACGGCGTAGTGTGTTACTAATGGTTTTCTTTGAGACTGTGGTCCCAGCTCTCTTCAGGTCATTGACCAGGTCCTGCCGTGTAGTTCTGGGCTGATCCCTCACCTTCCTCATGATCATTGATGCCCCACGAGGTGAGATCTTGCATGGAGCCCCAGACCGAGGGTGATTGACCGTCATCTTGAACTTCTTCCATTTTCTAATAATTGCGCCAACAGTTGTTGCCTTCTCACCAAGCTGCTTGCCTATTGTCCTGTAGCCCATCCCAGCCTTGTGCAGGTCTACAATTTTATCCCTGATGTCCTTACACAGCTCTCTGGTCTTGGCCATTGTGGAGAGGTTGGAGACTGTTTGATTGAATGTGTGGACAGGTGTCTTTTATACAGGTAACGAGTTCAAACAGGTGCAATTAATACAGGTAATGAGTGGAGAACAGGAGGGCTTCTTAAAGAAAAATTAACAGGTCTGTGAGAGCCGGAATTCTTACTGGTTGGTAGGTGATCAAATACTTATGTCATGCAATAAAATGCAAATTAATTACTTAAAAATCATACAATGTGATTTTCTGGATTTTTGTTTTAGATTCCGTCTCTCACAGTTGAAGTGTACCCATGATAAAAATTACAGACCTCTACATGCTTTGTAAGTAGGAAAACCTGCAAAATCGGCAGTGTATCAAAAACTTGTTCTCCCCACTGTATCAATATCCCAACTCAAATCAGTTGGGTTAGATTAGAGTGTCTAGCTGTGGATCTCGGTGTTCTGCTAGTAAGTGAGGGGAGAGTGACCGACCGACAAACACACACACGGGATGAGTGCTGTTGTAAATAACAGACCAGGCAGAGTGCTGACTGCTGCAGGCAGCACTCAGAGAAAGAGCAGGTTATTGATATACACTCGATTACTCCACTAGCCTGTCAGCTTTCCTTCCCTTCTATTCCTGAGACCCAAACAGCCAAAGCAATTATGTTAACAGCAATAAAATGAGCGTTACTCCTGGCTGCCACCTCCCTATTAGACCCAGGCTAACTTTCAAGGGATACTTTGGCAATGAGGCCCTTTATCTACTTCCCCAGAGTCAGATGAACTTGTGGATACCATTTTTGTCTCTGCGTGCAGCAGTGGAGGCTGCTGAGGGGAGGACGGCTCATATTAATGGCTGGAACGGAGCAAATGGAATGGCATCAAACACATGGAAACTATGTGTTTGATGTATTTGATACCATTCCACTGATTCCGCTCCAGCCGTTACCATGAGCCCGTCCTCGCCAATTAAGGTGCCACCAACCTCCTGTGGCTTGCAGTTTAAAGGAAGTGGCTAACTAGGGCTAGCGCAATTGCTAACTAGCTTTAGGGTAATGA